ACTGGTCATTCAACTGAGACTGCTCTTCTCTGTGTCACGGAGACTCTCCGCACTGCTAAAGCTAACTCTCTCTCCTCTGCTCTTGTCCTTCTAGACCTGTCTGCTGCCTTTGATACTGTGAACCATCAGATCCTCCTCTCCACCCTCTCCGAGATGGGCATCTCCGGCGCGGCTCACTCCTGGATTGCGTCCTACCTGACCGGTCGCTCCTACCAAGTGGCGTGGCGGGAAGCTGTCTCCGCACCACGTGCTCTCACCACTGGTGTCCCCCAGGGATCGGTTCTGGGCCCTCTCCTTTTCTCCCTATACACCAAGTCACTTGGCTCTGTCATATCCTCACATGGTCTCTCCTATCATTGCTACGCTGACGATACACAACTAATCTTCTCCTTTCCCCCTTCTGATAACCAGGTGGCGAATCGCATCTCTGCATGTCTGGCAGACATATCAGTATGGATGACGGATCACCACCTCAAGCTGAACCCTGGCAAGACGGAGCTGCTCTTCCTCCCGGGGAAGGACTGCCCGTTCCATGATCTCGCCATCACGGTTGACAACTCCGCTGTGTCCTCCTCCCAGAGTGCGAAGAGCCTAGGCGTGACCCTGGACAACACCCTGTCGTTCTCCGCCAACATCAAGGCGGTGACCCGCTCCTGCAGGTTCATGCTCTACAACATTCGGAGAGTGCGACCCTGCCTTACACAGGAAGCGGCGCAGGTCCTGGTCCAGGCACTTGTCATCTCCCGTCTGGACTACTGCAACTCGCTGTTGGCTGGGCTCCCTGCCTGTGCCATTAAACCCCTACAACTCATCCAGAATGCCGCAGCCCGTCTGGTGTTCAACCTTCCCAAGTTCTCTCACGTCACCCCCCTCCTCCGCACACTCCACTGGCTTCCAGTTGAAGCTCGCATCCGCTACAAGACCATGGTGCTTGCCTATGGAGCAGTGAGGGGAACGGCACCTCTGTACCTTCAGGCTCTGATCAGTCCCTACACCCAAACGAGGACATTGCGTTCATCCACCTCTGGCCTGCTGGCTCCCCTTCCTCTGCGGAAGCACAGCTCCCGCTCAGCCCAGTCAAAACTGTTCGCTGCTCTGGCACCCCAATGGTGGAACAAGCTTCCTCACGACGCCAGGACAGCGGAGTCACTCACCACCTTCCGGAGACATTTGAAACCCCACCTCTTTAAGGAATACCTGGGATAGGATAAAGTATTCCTTCTAACCCCCCCCCCCCCCCCCAAATTGTAAAGTGGTTATCCCACTGGCTATAGGGTGAACGCACCAATTTGTGAGTCGCTCTGGCTAAGAGCGTCTGCTAAATGACGTTAATGTGCCCTTGAGCAAGGCACTTAACCCTAATTGCTCCTGTAAGTCGCTCTGGTTAAGAGCGTCTGCTAAATGACTAAAATGTAAATGTAAATGTATAGTTTATTTTTCATAAATTAGCAAAAAATTCTAAAAACCTGTTTTTGCTTTGCCATAATGGGGTATTGTGTGTAGATTGATGAGGGGGGGGGGGGGGTATTTAATCCATTTTAGAATAAAATGTTGCGTCTTGACAGTGTTTGGAACATATGTACTAAGTTTTTTACCAATACGAATATCCGTGTCAGAGTTATATGCATTTATGTGCTAGACCATGCCCATTTGAAAGTTTATTGGTCAGTAGCGTCCATGTTGTTTGAGATGCTATCCTGGAGAACTTGGTTTATAGATGCCATGTACGATTAGTTGCTTATAGTTTACCTTGAATTTCAGTTCAACTTTGTGACACTGGGTGGAGGCTAACCCTGTGCATTGGTGTTCTGCTCAGCACAACTGAGATGTGCAGGTAACTGCCAAAATAAAGGAAACACTTGAGTAAATGAGGGATACAAAGTATATACGTCACACAGGGTGAGGGGCGTGACCTTCAAAAGTTAGCATTTTCAATCGGTTGTTATTGCGCCACCATGTGGCCAATTGGCATGGCATTGCATGAGATGGTGTGGCCCTTGGCCCTTGGCCATCTTGCAAAGTTGCACCCTCCTGGGCCTTATTATCTCACAGGAATTCAAATTGTTACACGAAATGGACGGAAGAACCCAAATAATAATGAATGCCAACAAATACAATAGATTTTCACCCACCTTCGCTGGCTTGAACCCCTAAAGAGTCAAGTCAAGAGAGGTAGTATGCATAGTAATAATGGACTGTATTACACTGTATTTGAAAATATAAAGTGGGTAGTGATTGTCCCTTTGTGTTTTGACTGGTTGTCAGGCAATCCGTGTGTGTGTGTGTGTGTGCATGCGAGCATGCATGTGTCCAATCCTAAAGTGAAGCATACGCCCCAGGAGCACCCGGAATGTTGTGACCTCCATCTCTATCTGTATCATGGTGGATATTGATAGCCCTCCTCCTATATAGCAAACCAAATACAGCCGTTATGCACTTTGTGTAATCCTTTCCCCTGACTGCAGCAGCTACACCCACCTACAGTATGATTGTCAATAAGTATTTGCAGTCAGTAAAATCAGATGGTAAATCGTTATGGCCAGATGTAATCTTGTTACAGCTCTATCCAGACAACTATTTTGGCCCTAATACTAACTGCATTGTAGTTAAACCCCCTTATCAGAAATGCCACCATTGACTCTCCGTATCACAGTTGTGTGCTTTCCATATAAACTAAATTGCTCAAACCTAGACGGAGACGATTGCTCAAAACCAGATAAAGGGCATTTGTTTTGCAATTCAAATAGGACAGCTGACGTGGAAGAAGCTGAAATTAGATTAGGGCACAAATGATCAAATACAAATCTCTTATAATAGAATATTGTACATTTCAAAGGTAATGGCCCTGACAAATGTTGCAAAAGATAAACAAGAATGAGTAAGTGGAAGAGGCATGAAAGCACAGCCACATGCAATTAGAATTATATAGCTCTACATGCAAAGCAAACAGACACCCACATTTAGAAGTGATACTTAAGAGAGAAGGAGAGCATATTGCGCCATCCTCTGCACGTTGAGACTGGTCCCTTAAACAATATACTATACATTGGTACTAGGCCTGATCACTATTATTAAATCCCTGGCAAGCTGTTTCCCAAAAACCATTGTTCCACTAAAACTGATCAATACAACATTGCAACTCTCTCTCTGTAAATTCTAATGTGTTTCTATAATATGGGGCAACGCTTCCAGACAATTTCTTCTGGCTATTGACTGTGGTGACATTTGAAATACCAGGTATCAACGTTGCTGTGACGAGTATTGAGTATACGAAGAGGCAGGACGCGGACGCAGACGCAGGGATTAACAAGATCAAGTCTAAGGTCTATCTTAAGATGAATGCACTCACTGTAACTCGCTCTGGATAAGAGCATCTACTACATGACTAAAATGTAAAATGTAAATGTTTAACATACAGATTTCACACTACTGTATTGAATTGAAAAAAAAAAAAAAAAAAAAAAAACATGATTGGATTGTGAAAAAACACCAATCTCTTTCATAATTTCTTTGAACAATAAAAGCTAATTTACCAATATTTCTGAAAATTGATATATAGCGTTTTGGAATGAAACTCTTCATTTGCTGCTTGTTCTTGTTTTATCGAAGGAGAAATGGTTTTTGTTTGGTCTGACTAATGTTCATTAGCTGCAAAAAACACTCAAAACTGGACAGTTTTAGCTCCATCTCTACATTCAAAAACTCAATCATGGACACTCTTACTGACACTTGTGGCTGCGTGATGTATTGCTGTCTCTACCTTTTTGCCCTTTGTGCTGTTGTCTGTGCCCAACAACATTTGTACCATATTTGTGCCGCTGCCATGTGTCGCTACCGTGCTGTGTTGTCATGTGTTGCTGCCATGCTGTGTTGTTGTTTTAGGTCTCTCTTTATGTAGTGTTGTGGTGTCTCTCTTGTCGTGATGTATGTTTTGTCCTACATTTCAAAAAAATATCCCAGACCCTGTCCCCGCAGGAGGCCTTTTGCGTCTTGGTAGGCTGTCATTGAAAATAAGAATTTGTTCTTAACTGACTTGCCTAGTTAAATAAAGGTTAAATAAAAATAAAAAAAATAAAAAATGGCTCTGTAAAGAACCTTTCTCAATCTCAAAAGGTTCATTGTAGAACCATACAGGGTTTTTTTATTCTGGTTTAATAGCCATATTATATAGTTAAAATTCCATAGGTTTTATTATTGTGTTTATGAACAAGTTGAATCAGGTGTGCTAGCTCTGGAATGGCTGGGGGTCTCTAAGGGAGAGAATTGCTGAGAATTTGGTAAAGGCTCTTTGTGAAATATTATTATTATAATTGTATTTATTTTTGCTTTTTCAGGCGGTGCTGCAGCACCCCTACTTCCCGCGGCTATGTCTACAGCACAACGCCAGAGTCATGTCTCAAGTGTAAAACTAATAATGACTCAATAATCCACGCTTTCTGGGAATGCTATAAAGTCTGTAAATTGTGGGCAGAGCTAGAAAGTTGGCTGTCAGAAGTATTACAATGTAATCTTACAGTACTTTTAATCCGTCTGTCTGCATATTTCAAAACATGGAATATGAGGGTGTAGTGAGATACCCAATGGGCTGAACGATTCTCTTCTCAACACTCACATTGAAAAAACCTATATTAAAAACTTGGAAGTTAATCAATCCGCCATCATTGACACAATGGAAAAATCTAATGGTTTATTATTGAAATATTGAAATAGGATGGGCGACCGAGAAAAGCAAATTTGTACAATTAAAGGCGAAGTGGCAAACAGTAATGCTGGCACCAGGGGTGGGGGTGTGAGCATGCGGGTCTGAGCAGATGAGATGCAGTCATTGTCTGTGTGTGTCTGTAAGATGTTGTTCGTATGTATTTGGAGTGCAAAAAAAATAAGGATATTAATATTATAAAAAATCGAATAAATCTCTCCAATCTTTTATAGGAATGACATGTCAAGCTCGGAGCTCCTATTTGGACACTGAGATGCTGTGGGGGTATCGCTTCACACCAGTCCTCTCCCTGGAGAAGGGCTTCTATGAAGTGGACTACAACAGCTTCCACAACATCTATGAGACCAACACAGCCTGCTGTAGTGCCAAAGACCTGGCGACCACCACAGCCAAAAAGATCCAGCTCAAATCAGGTCTGGTGGTACGACCAACTTCCAGACAGTCCGTGTCATCAATGTGACAGCCTCTTTTCAGCTATGGTGTATTTTCTCAAATTAATTTCTTATTTTGCAGCATAATTTCGCTACTATATTTTTTCTACCATGTGAATAATGATGGGCCATATTCAATCCGTAGCGCTGAAAATTCGCTTTATAGCGCAATTGACAATTAAAGGCAATGTTTCCGTGGTCCCGGAGATTGCATTCACGGTAAACGCTGCATATTTTGGCTCAATCGGAACTTAGCCTACCTTTACATTTTAACACGGATCTTCCGCCATACTTCGTCGATAGGGATTGAATCCAGCCCTAAATAAATGTACTTGAACTGCAAAATAGGACAAAGACTTCCAGAGTGAAAAGCAATAGGATGCTATGTGCAAAGGTCACCTACAGGACAGGGAGGAATGTGTTGGAAATCTGTAGCAGTTGTATGAGAACATGGCAAAAACATTAATGTGTCCAGTTCTGTGGGTTAGGTAAATATTCCGTCAACATCCCACCAAACATACACAGAACATGGTTGCCATGTTCTCAGAATATAGGATATCAATGTTCTAGACATTTTAATTCTAAGTACTGGCCAATGATTATAACGGTGATTCTGATCCAACCATAAATTCATACATTGTGCATCTGGCCTGGGAGGATGGAAGTTCAATATGTACACTACCAGTCAAAAGACTGGACACACCTACTCATTCAAGGGTTTTTCTTTATTTTTAAAAATTTTTACATTGTAGAATAATGGTGACGACATCAAAACTATGAAATAACACATGTAGTAACCAAAAAAGTTTGAAATAAATCAAAATATATTTTATATTTGAGATTCTTCAAATAGCCACCCTTTGCCTTGATCACAGCTTTGCACACTTTTGTCATTTTCTCAACCAGCTTCATGAGGTAGTCACCTGGAATGCATTTCAATTAACAGGTGTGCCTTGTTAAAAGTTAATATGTGGAATTTATTTCCTTCCTAATGCGTTTGAGCCAATCAGTTGTGTTGTGACAAGGTAGGGGTGGCATACAGAAGATAGCCCTATTTGGTAAAAGACCAAGTCCATATTATGGCAAGAACAGCTCAAATAAGCAAAGAGAAATGACAGTCCATCATTACTTTAAGGTCAGTCAATACGGAACATTTCAAGAACTTTGAAAGTTTCTTCAAGTGCAGTCGCAAAAACCATCAAGCGCTATGATGAAACTGGCTCTCATGAGGACCGCCACAGGAAAGGAAGACCCAGAGTTACCTCTGCTGCAGAGGATAAGTTCATTAGAGTTACCAGCCTCAGAAATTGCAGCCCAAATAAATGCTTCACAAAGTTCAAGTAACATACATATCTCAACATCAACTGTTCAGAGGGGACTGTGTGAATCAGGCCTTCATGGTCTAATTGCTGCAAAGAAACCACTACTAAAGGACACCAATAAGAAGAAGAGACTTGCTTGGTCCAAGAAACATGAGCAATGGACATTAGACTGGTGGAAATCTGTCTTTTGGTCTGATGAGTCCAAATTTGAGATTTTTGGTTCCAACCACCGTGTCTTTGTGAGACGCAGAGTAGGTGAACGGTTGACCTCCGCATGTGTGTTTCCCACCGTGAAGAATGGAGGAGGAGGTGTGATGGTGTGGGGGTGCTTTGCTGGTGACACTGTCAGTGATTTATTTAGAATTCAAGGCACACTTAACCAGCATGGCTACCACAGTATTCTGCAGCGATACGCCATCCAATCTGGTTTGTGCTTAGTGGGACTATCATTTGTTTTTCAACAGGACAATGCCTCAAAACATACCTCCAGGCTGTGTAAGGGCTATTTGACCAAGAAGGAGAGTGATGGAGTGCTGCATCAGATGACCTGGCCTCCACAATCACCCGACCTCAACCCAATTGAGATGGTTTGGGATGAGTTGGACCGCAGAGTGAAGGAAAAGCAGCCAACAACTGCTCAGCATATGTAGGAACTCCTTCAAAACTGTTGGAAAAGCATTCCAGATGAAGCTGGTTGAGAGAATGCCTAGAGTGTGCAAAGCTGTCATCAAGGCAAAGGGTGGCTATTTGAAGAATTTTTTCATTACTACATGATTCCATATGTGTTATTTTATAGTTTTGATGTCTTCACTATTATTCTACAATGTAGAAAATAGTAAAAAATAAAGAAAAACCCTTGAATGAGTAGGTGTGTCCAAACTTTTGACTGGTAGTGTATATACACATATACAGTGGGGAGAACAAGTATTTGATACACTGCCGATTTTGCAGGTTTTCCTACTTACAAAGCATGTAGAGGTCTGTAATGTTTATCATAGGTACACTTCAACTGTGAGAGACGGAATCTAAAACAAAAATCCAGAAAATCACATTGTATGATTTTTAAGTAATTAATTTGCATTTTATTGCATGACATAAGTATTTGATACATCAGAAAAGCAGTTACAGAGATCATACGTTTCCTGTAGGTCTTGACCAGGTTTGCACACACTGCAGCAGGGATTTTGGCCCACTCCTCCATACAGACCTTCTCCAGATCCTTCAGGTTTCGGGGCTGTCGCTGGGCAATACGGACTTTCAGCTCCCTCCAAAGATTTTCTATTAGGTTCAGGTCTGGAGACTGGCTAGGCTACTCCAGAACCTTGAGATGCTTCTTACGGAGCCACTCCTTAGTTGCCCTGGCTGAGTGTTTCGGGTCGTTGTCATGCTGGAAGACCCAGCCACGACCCATCTTCAATTCTCTAACTGAGGGAAGGAGGTTGTTGGCCAAGATCTCGCGATACATGGCCCCATCCATCCTCCCCTCAATACGGTGCAGTCGTCCTGTCCCCTTTGCAGAAAAGCATCCCCAAAGAATGATGTTTCCACCTCCATACTTCACGGTTGGGATGGTGTTCTTGGGGTTGTACTCATCCTTCTTCTTCCTCCAAACATGGCGAGTGGAGTTTAGACCAAAAAGCTCTATTTCTGTCTCATCAGACCACATGACCTTCTCCCATTCCTCCTCTGGATCATCCAGATGGTCATTGGCAAACTTCAGACGGGCCTGGACATGCGCTGGCTTGAGCAGGGGGACCTTGCGTGCGCTGCAGGATTTTAATCCATGACGGCATAGTGTGTTACTAATGGTTTTCTTTGAGACTGTGGTCCCAGCTCTCTTAAGGTCATTGACCAGGTCCTGCCATGTAGTTCTGGGCTGATCCCTCACCTTCCTCATGATCATTGATGCCCCACGAGGTGAGATCTTGCATGGAGCCCCAGACCGAGGGAGATTGACCGTCATCTTGAACTTCTTCCATTTTCTAATAATTGCGCCAACAGTTGTTGCCTTCTCACCAAGCTGCTTGCCTATTGTCCTGTAGCCCATCCCAGCCTTGTGCAGGTCTACAATTTTATCCCTGATGTCCTTACACAGCTCTCTGGTCTTGGCCATTGTGGAGAGGTTGGAGTCTGTTTGATTGAGTGTGTGGACAGGTGTCTTTTATACAGGTAACGAGTTCAAACAGGTGCAGTTAATACAGGTAATGAGTGGAGAACAGGAGGGCTTCTTAAAGAAAAACTAACAGGTCTGTGAGAGCCGGAATTCTTACTGGTTGGTAGGTGATCAAATACTTACGTCATGCAATAAAATGCAAATTAATTACTTAAAAATCATACAATGTGATTTTCTGGATATTTGTTTTAGATTCCGTCTCTCACAGTTGAAGTGTACCTATGATAAAAATTACAGACCTCTACATGCTTTGTAAGTAGGAAAACCTGCAAAATCGGCAGTGTATCAAATACTTGTTCTCCCCACTGTACATACATACATACATACATATCCTTTTTAAAAATATATTTTCCTTTATTACTTACCAACCCCACCACCCCTCCCCTAATTGGAGTAAAATAGTGAACAACAATGCTTAGGCCTCTACATCCAGCTTATACATGCTATATACATTTTATGGACACAGTCAATCTTACAATAGTTATATTTATTTTGTTTTTACTCCTGAACTTCCTCTACCCTCAACCTCTCTGATCATTTTCATGATGTCCATCCGGTTTGCTTCTATATGCCATATCTTTCAAACTGTGCTCTTTCACAAAAGCTCTTAACCTATAACCTATATACTTATTATGGACACAGTATGTTTTACATTAGTTATCTTGTTCTTATTAGTTGTTATTAGTCCCAACCTTCAGCTCCATTCAACCCCTCCCATCTGTCGCTTAACACCATCCATATTGGATTTCTATTTGCCATATATTTTTCAACTGTACTGTGGTGTTTCACAAAAGTTCTGAACCTTTCTATTTTCATTGTTTCTACAGATTGTGAATTGAAAATATTTTTTTTTGCTAAAAGTATTATTATATTATTTATCAATTGACTATGACTTTTCAGATCACCCAGTAGTGCTATCTGCAGGGTTAGCTCCAGGTTAATATTGCAATCCTTCAGCCATTCCTGGACTTGTGACCAAAAACAAGCTACAAATGGACAGTACCAAAACAAATGATCTAATGATTCTGTCTTTTCGCAGCAAAATCTGCAGAGCTGGGAAGATTGTATCCCCCATATAAATAACATTCTATTGGTAGCAAGAATTTTGAATAATCATTTAAATGGAAAAATTCTAAGTTTTGAATACGCTGTCGTTTTGCGTATCAGTTCATAAACCATGTGCCATGGAATCGGTACATAAAAAATCTCTTCCCAACTATTTTGCAATCTATATGGGATGGCTGTCAATCCTTTGGTCCTTAAATACTTTTTTATTTATCACAATTTTCTTTAACCAATTATGGTCTTTAATGGAGGGCAGACAGACAAGTTCCTTACTTTTTCCCCCTTCCATTTTAACGGTAATGCTACAATTATTTGGTTGTAATTTTGGGTAGAGCAGACATTTCCATTTGTTTTTGTTAGCTGCATGTGCGACATAACTCCACCAGTCCTACCTATGATATAATTTACAAAGATGTATACATATTAAAAACTTTTTTTTATTATTTTTTTCATTTTTTTAATCAATTAGTATATTTGAGTTTAACCACAAAATAGTGATATTTGGGACATGATTTCCTTTTCAAATAACTGAAAGTGAGAGGTTGTAATCTGAATAAAGGGAAAAAGGCCATTCTTGAACATGGGGTGAGACAATCTTACTAATTTGCTAGAGAACCAGTTCGGATTTAAGTATAACTTTGTATGACTGAAGCTTTTAGTGATAGGTCTAATGGTTTAATCTTTAATAATTTCAGTCCTCCGAATTCATATTCCTTATATAAATAGGCCCATTTAATTTTGTCTGGCTTGCCATTCCAAATCAAATGGAATATTTTTTTCTCATATAATTAAAAAAAAAAACGGTTCGCTAGGCATAGGCAAGATCATAAGCAAATAGGTAAACTGGGATAATACTAAAGAGTTAATCAGGGTGATTTTCCACAAATAGACAGGTATTTACCTTTCCATGGTAGCAAGATCTTATCTATTTTTGCTAACTTTCAAATAAAATGTATTGCCGTGAGATAATTTCTTTCTTTTGGGATATGTATACCGAGTATATCCACATATTTTCTAATCCCTTGATATTATTGTTGGATCTGATTTTAATAGCTAACATTTTGATGACCATAATAAATAGATATGCCGAAAGTTGACAACCTTATTTTCCTCCTCTTGACAGTTTAAAACTTTCTAAGAAATAGCCATTATTTACTATTTTACACCTAGGGTTACTATACACGATTTTAACCCATTTTATAAGAGATTCTCCAAAATTGAAATGCTCCAGGCATTTATATATAAACTCCAGTCGTACTTTATCAAAAGCCTTTTCAAAGTCAGCTATGAATAGCAGGCCTGGTTTCCCAGATTTTTCATAGTGTTCTATTGTTTCCAGTACTTGCCTTATATTATCTCCAATGTATTGTCCATGTAAGAAACCTGTCTGATTAGAATGAATAATGTCCGACAATACCTTTTTAATTCTATGCGCTATACATTTTGCATCACAACACTGAAGTGTAAGGGGCCTCCAATTTTTTTAATGGACTGGATCTTTATATTTCCCACTTGTATCCTGTTTCAGTAATATGAAATCAGACCTTCTTCAGTAATAATGAAATCAGACCTTCTTGAGTGTCTGATAATCTACCATTTACATAGGAGTGGTTAAAACATGCTAATAACGGTCCTCTGAGTATATCAAAAAAGGTTTGGTATACCTCAACTGGTATGCCATCCAACCCTGGAGTTTTCCCGGACTTAAAGTCTTTAATTGCATCCAGAAGTTCCTCTGTAATTTCGCCTTCACGTGAGTCTTTCTGTATGGCTGTTAATTTTACATTATCAATAGAATGTAAAATTCTATTGATGGGGCGGCAGGTAGCTTAGTGGTTAAGAGCGTTGTGCCAGTAACCAAAAGGTCGCTGGTTCTAATCCCCAAGCCGACTTGGTGAAAAATCTGTCGATGTGCCATTGAGCAAGGCACTTAACCCTAATTGCTCCTGTAAGTCGCTCTGGATAAGAGCGTCTGCTAAAAATGAAAACAAATCCATTCAATTAGCTTCAGTCAGAGGAGATGGAGGTGACTGAAACGAAAACTTATGCTTAAAGTAACCAATTTCAGTTAATTATTTTTGGTAGCATTTCTATGTTGAAAATCCATCCAGTTTGCTTAATTTTTTATAATATATTACACTTGATCTTTCTTGAATAAGTTCCTCCATTTCTTTTTGTTTTTCCTCTAACTTATTCTGAGCCTCTATGTTTTCTTTGCGACTTGCGGTAACTCTCTGGTGTCCTAAATCAATAGTTGTTTAGTAGTCCGAAAATGTCAGACGCATTAACTTGATTGACCATGCTGTAGGTCATGTAATGGTTTGTTACATGCAATATGCTTTGTGGACTTCACAGAACAGATGCTCTCCGGTTTTGTGATGAAACAAAACTGTGGTTGAATTTATTTACAAATAATTGCACAAGGGTTGTGGAGACACCACACAATGGATGTGTAAAATAATGTTTGCAGACAAACTCTCCATTGTATCTAAGCAGTTGTGTCAAATGTGTTGTATATCAGTTGTACAACTTGAGTGCGTACGGGGCCTTCGAGAGCAATGTGAAGCAGTTCATCGCAGTAATGTTCTTTAAATGAAAGGAGGGGTGGGGAAAGGTTGGATGTTTATCAGATTGTGATACAGGTGTGTAGGTAAGGGAAGTCCTTTTTCAGTGTCCCAACTCTCTTCCTTCACTGTGATCCTGTGTGGCTCAGTTGGTACAGTAGTCTGGATCGTGGGTTTGATTCCCGCTGGGGCCACCCATACGGAAATATATGCTAATGCCAATCGCTTAGGATTCTGCTAAATGACATATGTGTTGCCTTGGTCAAGAGTGAGGGTGTAGGTTTACAACAGCACCAGAGTCCTCTAGTCGCTTCAGAGTTTTCGCCTCATGGGAGAGGTTGTGGTACGAATTCTGTCAGGAAGAGCAGATATTCAAACATCAATTGATTTTCAAATAGGTCTACAGACCATGCAAAGTGGTATGAAATTGTTCATGACAACAGATAACGCCAACGTCTCTCCTCTGTATCAACACATTTAATTTGATGTGTCTCCACATATCATATTCAATGTCATTCATATGTGACTTTGCATATTGTTTTAGACAAGACAAGTGATTGTTGATAGACCAAGGGATACATCCCAATTATCTCTCCTTCCTCCCAAAGTGTGCTCTCTTTCACTTGCTTTCACTGATTTGAAAGGAAATGACTGGCTTAAGGAATATGGTGGAAACTTCCTCTGACCCATTCCTCCACCAATCCAATGCTTTTAGATTTGTGGGAAGTAGTGAATGAGTGTACACTTCAGAAGAAATTAGATATTGTTGGGACGCAACCCATGTCAACTTCCTCCCTCACCTTCATAGACTTCATGGTGTCGTAGCCATAGTAGTGAATGGGGTGCTTCAGGTACTTAGACTCTGGGTAGCCAAATCCAGTGATGTGGACCACGTCACAGTAGTTAAGGGCCACGTAGATGGCCAGAATGCCAGTAGTAGGGTGCGCTGGGATCTGTGAGGACAAGCATAAGAGACCCATTAGAGATATTATATTTTATTTCACCAGCAGGTGGCAGCACTAGCATGTAAAAATAACAATGAAAGACTAACAGTCTTCTCCATCACTACATCAGTTTTAGGGGTTAGATCAGCTTTAATATTGCAGATATATTGTAAGTTCTATCAATTTCATTGTTTGCATCATTTCTAATCCTCCTTATTTTTATTTTCTCTATACATTTTCCCTCCTACCCTACCATCCCTATCCTGATTGGAGTAAACTAACGGACAACAATACTTCTACTACTACTTACAGCTATTTTCGCTCACATCTATGGTACCTGTAGTTAAATAAATTATACATATATTCCACATTTTCTCTTTCTTCAAGTGCTGAACTTTCGCCCACAGCGGCCAATCGACCAATCATTCTGATCTTAACTCCATCTCTCCGATGTCCACAGATTAACCCATCTTTCCAAGTATAATGCCATTTTGCTATTTCCTTTTGCAATACATCCCTCCATTTTACTATGATGTCTTATGAGGATCCTAAACCTCCCTATTTATTACATTTCTACCGATATTGCCCTAAAAATAAATACTTTACCCAAGAGTATAATGATATTTCCCATTGACTGATCGTGGTTTTTCAGATCCCCTAACAATACCGTTTGCAGGTCCATCTGAACCCTGATATAATGACATACAGTGCCTTGCAAAAGTATTAATCCCCCTTTTTCCTATTTTGTTGCATTACAACCTGTAATTTAAATGGACTCCAAAAGCGAGCCACCGATGGACAGTACCAGCAAATATGTTCTATTGATTGTTTCCTCATGCCAAAGACTGCACAAGACTGACTGTTCAATGCTCCATATATTGAGCATTATTTCTGTAGCAAGTATTTTATACAATAGGTTTAAATTTAAACGAACGGATTGATGTGCCAATTGTTGTTTTATACTGTATGTCAGTTCATAGACCCGATGCCAAGGTATTGGGACATCAAGAACCTGTTCCCAACTGACTTAAATTTTATACGGTATTGCTGTCAAACCTTTTGACTTTAAGTGAAACTCATCATTTTGGGGGGATTTATCCTAATCATTTTAAGCCATTTATGATGTAATAATAATATGCCATTTAGCAGACGCTTCTATCCAAAGCGACTTACAGTCATGTGTGCATAAATTTTTTTACGTATGGGTGGTCGAACCCACTACCCAGGCGTTACAAGAGCCATGCTCTACCAATTGAGCTACAGAGGACCACATTTAATGGGTGGCAGACAGTCCCATTCTTTAATTTCTTCCTTAAGTCATTGTCTCTTCCAATTTTGTGGCAGAGCCGCGATGAGTTGGTTCTAATTTTGTATTGAGCATACACCTCCATACACTGTTATTAATTTTGTGGCAGAGCCACGATGAGTTGGTTCTAATTTTGTATTGAGCATACACCTCCATACACTGTTGTTAATTGCTTGTGTGACAATGTTACCGTTCTTTCATAAATATTATACCCTTCTTGTAACAAATTTCCAATAAATGTAGTTTTTTCTCTATCAGTACATTGGAGTTAAGACATATTATTTGCTGTAATACTAGATCAGCCTTTTCTGGAGGATGAAATTGAAATTGTAGCCAACTCTGTATGACTTCATTTAAAAATGAAAGATACTTTAAAACAGGTACCCATTGTCAATCCACCGAAAATGTAAGGTTTTAATCTGCAAAAAGGCAAAGAGCCCACTCTTAAACATAGGCTGGGCCTCTCTTAGTAGCTTGCTAGAAAACCAGTTTGGATTTATATACAATTTCGGTACAATGGAGGCCTTAAGGGAGAGGTTTAATGCCTTAATATTTAATAGTTTTAACCCTCCAAACTCATGTTCGTTATATAAATATGCTTGTTTAACTTGATCTGGTTTGCCATTCCAAATAAAGTTAAATATGTTTTTCTCGCATGATTTGAAAAAGGATTCTACTGGGGTCGGTAGAGCAATGAATAAATACAGTATACAGTGAGGGAAAAAAGTATTTGATCCCCTGCTGATTTTGTACGTTTGCCCACTGACAAAGAAATGATCAGTCTATAATTTTAATGGTAGGTTTATTTGAACAGTGAGAGACAGAATAACAACAAAAAAATCCAGAAAAACGCATGTCAAAAATGTTATTAATTGATTTGCATTTTAGACAGAATTAATCTAAATTAACTCAATAAATATTTTTTGCAGAGATCTTAGTTGCGAAATTTTACATCTAACTAAGATGTTTGGTGCAGTATTTCTCAATGAAAAAATGTGCATGAAAACGAGTCGTCTCTCGTTGAATGACAAGGACTTTATTGAAGAATACCTACTGTCGACCAATCACCGACGAAGGGGCGTAGACTTCAGCACCGAACTTCGGCTTGCTTCTAGAAATTTGTTTGTGTGCCCGTACAGCTGAAAAAACCCTCACCGAAGTCCAAAACTAACAAAAACAGCACAAAATGTTGGCATAATATATGCACAAACTCTTCCGAACTGTTTCGGCTGGGAAGCATGCCGACACCTTAATGGCAATTTAAAGTTAGCATCTTTTATAGACCCAATCCGTAATATAGTGTATACACTTATCATAGTTTGGGTTTAGTCCAGAGAAACTGGAGAAATTATCCAGGTCCTCAATGAGGCCCTTCAAGGTTGAAGATTGAGGACTCAAGAGAAAACTTGAATCATCAGCGTACATTAATCCTTTTGTCTCTAATCCCTTCATTTTTAGCCCCTTAATGTTATCATTAGATCTGATTTTTAAAGCTAACAGTTCAATGGTCATATTAAATACTGTAGGTATGGTGACAGAGAGCAACCTTTTTTCACGCCTCTTGACAATTCAAAGATCTCAGAGAAGTAACTGTAATTTATTATTTTACATAAAGAATTGTTGTACATCACTTTTAGAAATCTTAAATTGAAAAGAAAAAGGCATTTAAACAGATTCTAGACGTACTGTATCAAATGCTATCTCAAAATCTGCTATAACGATTATACCTGGTTTCCCTGCATTCTCAAAGTTTTCCATTATTTGTAGTAGTTGTCAATGTTGCCTCCAATATATCTTCCTTCTATGAATACCGTCTGATTGTGATGAATAATGTCCGGAAGGACCTTTTTTATTCTATGAGCAATACATTTTGCCAATATTTTTGCATCACAACACTGAAGGGTCTAACTCATTGTTACCATCTAACTCATTGGTTACAAAGGAAAACTTGTAACACCAAGGTCTGTAGGTTTCTAAACATATACAGTGGGGAAAAAAAGTATTTAGTCAGCCACCAATTGTGCAAGTTCTCCCACTTAAAAATATGAGAGGCCTGTAATTTTCATCATAGGTACACGTCAACTATGACAGACAAATTGAGGAAAAAAAATCCAGAAAATCACATTGTAGGATTTTTTATGAATTTATTTGAAAATTATGGTGGAAAATAAGTATTTGGTCACCTACAAACAAGCAAGATTTCTGGCTCTCACAGACCTGTAACTTCTTCTTTAAGAGGCTCCTCTGTCCTCCACTCGTTACCTGTATTAATGGCACCTGTTTGAACTTGTTATCAGTATAAAAGACACCTGTCCACAACCTCAAACAATCACACTCCAAACTCCACTATGGCCAAGACCAAAGAGCTGTCAAAGGACACCAGAAACAAAATTGTAGACCTGCACCAGGCTGGGAAGACTGAATCTGCAATAGGTAACCAGCTTGGTTTGAAGAAATCAACTGTGGGAGCAATTATTAGGAAATGGAAGACATACAAGACCACTGATAATCTCCCTCGATCTGGGGCTCCACGCAAGATCTCACCCCGTGGGGTCAAAATGATCACAAGAACGGTGAGCAAAAATCCCAGAACCACACGGGGGGACCTAGTGAATGACCTGCAGAGAGCTGGGACCAAAGTAACAAAGCCTACCATCAGTAACACACTACGCCGCCACGGACTCAAATCCTGCAGTGCCAGACGTGTCCCCCTGCTTAAGCCAGTACATGTCCAGGCCCGTCTGAAGTTTGCTAGAGTGCATTTGGATGATCCAGAAGAGGATTGGGAGAATGTCATATGGTCAGATGAAACCAAAATAGAACTTTTTGGTAAAAACTCAACTCGTCGTGTTTGGAGGACAAAGAATGCTGAGTTGCATCCAAAGAACACCATACCTACTGTGAAGCATGGGGGTGGAAACATCATGCTTTGGGGCTGTTTTTCTGCAAAGGGACCAGGACGACTGATCCGTGTAAAGGAAAGAATGAATGGGGCCATGTATCGTGAGATTTTGAGTGAAAACCTCCTTCCATCAGCAAGGGCATTGAAGATGAAACGTGGCTGGGTCTTTCAGCATGACAATGATCCCAAACACACCGCCCGGGCAACGAAGGAGTGGCTTCGTAAGAAGCATTTCAAGGTCCTGGAGTGGCCTAGCCAGTCTCCAGATCTCAACCCCATAGAAAATCTTTGGCGAGAGTTGAAAGTCCGTGTTGCCCAGCGACAGCCCCAAAACATCACTGCTCTAGAGGAGATCTGCATGGAGGAATGGGCCAAAATACCAGCAACAGTGTGTGAAAACCTTGTGAAGACTTACAGAAAACGTTTGACCTGTGTCATTGCCAACAAAGGGTATATAACAAAGTATTGAGAAACTTTTGTTATTGACCAAATACTTATTTTCCACCATAATTTGCAAATAAATTCATTAAAAATCATACAATGTGATTTTCTGGAAATACAATTCTCATTTTGTCTGTCATAGTTGACGTGTACCTATGATGAAAATTACAGGCCTCTCTCATCTTTTTAAGTGGGAGAACTTGCACAATTGGTGGCTGACTAAATACTTTTTTTCCCCACTGTACGCCTCTCCACCCTTTGAGTCATATCCCTTACAAAACAAGGTTTGTTTTCTTAGTCACTCCTTCCAGAGAAAGGAGGAGACGAAAGAGGAAGGATAACATCAGTGACCCAACTACTAGCTGTGACTAATAGGAGGAGCGCCATTCCCTAAAGTGACCTCATCAAGAGTGGCCATGTCACAATCTTTACATGATTTAATCAAGTTTACAAGAGACACGCTTGGCTCTATTATTTTTTTTTTAACAGATAGAACAGTAGAGAGAAGACAGGAAAGATTGGAGGAGATAGAGTTAAAGGGCAGTGGGTGAATTCAAACCCATGCCAACTCTTGCACCAGCGCAGCGGGGTCAGTGGCAAAACCACTGGACCACACAGAAAATGCATCCTACTGTCCTCCCTTCCTAGTCATTAATCAGTATGAGATTGGATAGTTGAAAGCAAAGGTCCCATAACATACCTTTCACCAATCCAGTCACTTTAGACCAGTGATTACTTCAAGGAAGACAGGAAGGAAGGATGCATTTGGAAAGTATTCAAACCAAGCCCTAGTTTCAGGGCCGATGATATTGAGGGCAGAGTCCTTCTGCTTTTAGCTCGCTATACTTTTTTAATGAATTTTTCTGCAAAAGGTGGGTAAACTGTCCCGGAGTGGGAAAAAAGTGGGTAAACTGTGTTTACTTACCCTCCACTACACCACTGCCTGCAATGTGAGAGGTTGCCCATGGAGTCATGAGACTTAAATATCTAGAGAGGAAATAAATAGTAGCAGAGCTCCGCTGTACTTGAAGACGTTGTTTGTTTCTTAAACTTAGATTTTTGAAGTGAAGTTAAAATGAAGCTTAAAAGGCACTTCCTGAAATAGGGATTAAATGTTCTGACATTCCTTCAGTCAAAACAGGCCACGTACTTCTGCTTCTTCATACTTCTACTTCTGTTTTCTTTCAAAAACTTAAAATGAGCTTGCCTGGCACAATGGAACCAATAGAATAGTCCCAAAAGTGCAAAATCAACGCATCTGGCACTCAAGGCAGGTGTGACGGATGTCACTGTGCCACTTTAGCAGTATAGCTACCCTTACTGTACCTGTCTCCTTGCTGGGCTTAAACTAGTGATCCTCCACAAACACACATGACCTCACGCTTAAATTAGAGTAAAAGCCTTTGAAATAAAAAAAATACTATTTGAACCCAGGTCTGCTGCCTGGATACATCGCTTTATTCAGACAAGGGTGGATAACCAGTCAGGTTCAGTAAAAAACTTGAGAGAAGTATCGGCGACAAAATAAACCACATCGTCTCACGGGCATCACCATAACCTTAAACGTCCTCTCCATAATTCCTATTTTCTCACACATTTCCATTTCAAGACAGTTACCTTAAGTTTCCAGCACATCCTTTGAGAGCCAAGGTATGCCACATTTTGAACTTGAAGAGCACTTTAAGAGTGGGGACAAAGCACCATTGTAACAGTCGGGGCATTTCGCTCAGTGCTGAATCGAACCCCTACGCACAGAGGAAGACGAGGACGGCACCTTAAGAAAGGAGGAGTGGGCAAACTCCAAGGTCAGAAAAAAAGAAATACGTCAACGTGTGATTTTTGCCACTGACATTCTAAGTAATGACATCATTAGCTTGGCCGGGAACAGCCAAGGCTCCAAAGTAATACTTATAGTTTCAAATGAACCCAATGTTTTCAATGAAACCAGTCACTCATGAAACTGTATGGACATTAACACTGCACTAATACCATCTTTCCCACTACATGTGTAACAGTGTTGCTTCCGTCCCTCTCCTCGCCCCTACCTGGGCGTGAACCAGGGACCCTCTGCACACATCGACAACAGTCACCCTCAAAGCACCGTTACCCGTCGCTCCACAAAAGCCGCGGCCCTTGCAGAGCAAGGCAAACAACTACTTCAAGGTCTCAGAGCGAGTGACGTCACCGATTGAAACGCCACTAGTGCGCACCGCTAACTAGCTAGCCATTTCACACCGGTTACACATGCATAATAATTTATCTACTTTCATGTGACCACTAATATTGATACAACGACGATGAATAATTATAGATTACTACACAGATATTAATTGAAGCTTTAGCTTGACCCTAAACCCTCTTGACACCTTATTGACCGTGGTGATGGGAGAGAGTTTTGACAGGCGCTTCTCTGAAAAGCAATTATTTTCACACCCAAACAAAGCTACGTTCATAGCCTTCTTATCATTACAGTAACTTGTCTGCACGCTTCAGACATTTTCTAACCGTTCTAGGAAGCTCCTAAATATAACCACTAAAATCTTAAAAGTTACTCAAATGACAAGAACAAGGCTGACATGGTGGTTAAATGACCAGAACGTCGACTTATTACACTAGTGCCATTTTTGCTAGATAGTATTTTGAAGCGTCTGGCTAACGAGGAGCTACCCTATAGCGTAAATTTCACACAAGATTAACACGTCCCGTTTGCAATTCTAAAATGTTCCATGGTATGCGAAATGGCAATTTTAGCTTTTCATGTTTGTGAAAGCAAAGACATGGTGAAATGCATTTTTAACTATTGTGTTACAATACCATTTCCCATAATGTAATAATTGTACTTCCAACTCGCTTTAAACAAGTACATTTCTGGTAGGGTGAGCAGCTATTCTGAGCAGCTCTCACCTGGTTGGTCTTTGGAGGTGTGTTGAGAGGCAAGTGGAGCAGGCGGCTGGCCGTTTGCTGCAGGAAGTAGGGGTCCAGGATGCGGATATTGCTGGTTTTACCCAACCAGATCTCAGGAGGGGGTTTCCAGAAGCCCTTTCTGATCTGAGGCCACAGATAGGGTGAATAGAGTGAGTCTAGTTAAAAAGAGTCCTGGGTGGTCCATATGTATCAAGTGTCTCAGATTAAGTGTGCTGATCTAGGATCAGGTCCCCCTATCCATGTAATCTTATTCATCATGAAGGCAAAACTGATCCTAGATCAGCACTCCTACTCTGAGACGCTGATACATACGGCCCCTGGTTAAAACAGCTTCACTAGTAGGGCTACGTTCCAATATCCACACCAGCATACTACTTAGAATCAGACCTGGGTTCAACTACTATTTGAAATCATTTCAAATACTTTCGCTCGGTTTGATTGAGCTAGCCAGGTGCAATGCACCTACCCATCTGGCACTCCAGGCAGGCTACACCAAACACTAAAAGTATTTGAAAAATGTCAAATAGTATTTGAACCCAGGTGTACTTAGGATGCATTCCCAATACATTGCTTAATTTTACAGTATTTGCCCACTTTCAGATTTTCTCTATTTTTGCATATTTTTGATATTGAATGTTATCAGATCTTAAACCAAAACCTAATATTAGATAAAGGGAACCTGAGTTTACAAACCAAAAAATATATATACTAATTTTTTTATTTAATTAGCAAAGTTATGCAACACCCAATTCCCCTGTGTGGAAAAGTAATTGCCCCCTTACACTCAAAAACTTTAGCTGCAAAGACTGCAACCGAATGCTTCCTGCAGTTGAATTCGGGGTTGCATAACTTTATTAATTAAATAAATAAAATAATATTTTGTTTTGTTTTTGTTATTTGTAAACCTTTATCTAATATTAGGTTTTGGTTGAAGATCTGATAACATTCAGTATCAAAAATATGAAAAATTGAGAAAATCAGAAAGGGGGCAAATACCTTTTCACGCCACTGTATGTGCTATGCTAGTGTGGAAATTACAACAGAGCCTAGATCTAAGTATTAACTCCTGCCCAGTCATTGGTTGATCACAGGTGCCTTCTCTTCCCGCTTAGAATTAGACTACTGTGTAAATGAGGGTGGCATGACCCTACACCCAAAGGCTGTTCCTTTCAACATTATTATTAGACACTGCTCCAACACAACCTACTAACAGAGCCTCAGGGTAGGGAGATAGGGTGGAAAATACAATGTTCCAGCAGGTGAGGGGGATAATGTTTAAACGGATAGGGGATTTTAACGTGGCATTGGGGAGAGAGCGGGAGAGAAAAGTGTGTGCATGGATGTGTTTGTGTGTGTGGATGAAACAGAAAGAGGTAGACTAACTAGAGAGAGAGAGAGTGTGTGTGTGTGTCTGTGTGTGTGTGATCAGTTGTATAATCCCCTGTCATCCATTCATGTTCTTTACCTCATATATGACATTGTATGTCCTGTAATCAGTTTTATAGTTGCAAGGCACATTTCTGTGTAAACAGACAATAAAACCTTACTTCATCTCATCTCATCTCATCATATCATATCTTGTCTTATGTTAGATGGGGAGTAATGGGCATCCCTGTCTTAGTGTTGAAAATATCACATCCAGTATAGTACCCTCTTCTCGTTGTACAGGATCTCTTTGAGCCAGCGCACGTCTTGCTGCTTGAAAGGCACGAGGACCATGAGGGTATCAGGGTCATTGTGGATGCTGGGGTTGTAGGAAGCTGACTCAGGGTAGAAGAGACGCATGGTAGTCTTGTTCCCCACGTCGGTCTCATACCCCCGAACTGGGGCATCGTTCAACCTGGGAACGACCAATAAGACATTACATGAAGCATAGTCACTCAGTCTGCATACTGCTGTTATAACCATGACATAACATGACATAAACGTGCCATAGCAAGACATAAAGCACTCAGTCTCTTTACCTGATCACTATGTCGTACTTGTTAATGGCACTTCCTAACGAGGTGTTCTTGATGGCGAACCCATTTCCAACCACCATACAGGTTCTGCAAGGCAAACTAAGAGCAGGAAGAGGACAAAACAGTACAGCTCAACCAAGGTATCATGGTAGACCTTTTAAAAACATGATCTGTCAATAATCAGGAATGTGTCAACTGTCAGCTGAGTAAAATATTAACTTCAATAGATTCATAAACTAGATTGTAATCTTATGCAAACATTTAATTTTTTTTACAGTAGTGTCATTGTCAGGGATGAGATATACTTTGACCTAACTTTTTTATCGTCTCTGGCATGTCATAGCTGGCTATGGCTGACAATGCTTTCACGAGGAAAAGCTCTGGAAAACAGAAAATGAACATAAACATCTCACACAAGAAATGTAAACATGAGATACAGACATGGTTAATTCAGATAACACTAGTAACACTGATGCTTGCTATTACATGTCAGTAATAACACTGTCATAGGAATAACATAACATGCACTAGTCTAGTCCAAAAGCATCATTCAAATAAGAGCCCACTGAAAAGCACCTTTAACAGAATATGCATTTTGTATGAAGTACCCAGAGGAGGCTGGTGAAGGGGAGGGCGGCTCATAGAAATGGATTGATTGGAGTGGTATCAAACACGTGTTCGATGTGTTTGATACCGTTCCATTAATTCCGTGCCAGCCATTACATTAAGCCTGTCCTTCTATTTAAAGTCCCACCAGCCACCATTGGAAGTACCATTTGAAGTGGAGGATGGTGACAACTTACCACTGCCCTTAACACCATAAGGCAAGGCTAACATGGACAAGTAGCTTCGCCAGAAGAAATCGTCTAGCTTCAAGAAGAGTTGAGCATTCCTGCTCACACTGGTAGGAGAAAACACAGGTAGAAATACATACACGTGCTGATAAGAAATATTAAATCAATGTGGCATAGACTATCACTTAAAATAACTATAATTGTGGAAGGAAGTTAGATGTTATATACTTTCTTCAAAGCTTGATTTAGATATGAATGTGTTAAGAATTAAACTTGTGCTGAGAAACAAACCCAAACTCATTGTATCATTGCAAAACCAAACTCATTGGTTAATGTTCGAAGAAAAAAAAAAAATGCCATTACCATTGCAAAACATGACCCAACTAACTGGTCACATTTCCAAGAAACCACAAAGAAAAGAAAAAAGCAGAAGAGAAACATGCAAATGTTGGTTTTCTTATTTTGAATGGCCATTTGTGATATTCATGTTATTTGTCATGTATTTTTCTTCCCTATTTTTTTCGATGCTATATTTACATTAATTATTCAAATAGGGCCTATGACCCAAATATTTGGTAGTTGAGAAAGAAAAGCGTAATCTTATCTGCAGGGGAGGGGGAGAGAGAGGGAGAAAGAAAGAAAAACAACAAACTCTCCTCTCCTCTCCTCCGTGTTTCTTATCAAGTAGACTTAATTACTCACTTGAAGTTGAGACTCTCCCACTTCTGAGAGATGTTCCAGCTGTCACAGAGGGCCTTACTGAAAGCCCCTCCGCTACTGAAAAACACAGGAAACCAAACATAAACACACCACTGAAATAGAGACTCGACTGAAACACACAGAACATGGAAACCAAACAGAAACACACCACTGAAATAGAGACTTGACTGAAACACACAGAACATGGAAACCAAACAGAAACACACCACTGAAATAGAGACTCGACTGAAACACACACAGTATGTGGTCTCTGCGGTGGTTAATGGTCTCAACTGCGAACCAAAAGCTGGGGACAAAACGTTGGTTTCCACTGTGGTTATCTGTGGTAGGAATGAGCTACCACCTTGCCCATGCTTATGCTACACTCTTAGGGTTCGTCGGCTGTCCCCATAGGAGAACCCTTTTTGGTTCCAGGTAAAACCCTTTTTTGTTCCAGGTAGAACTACCTGGAACCAAAAAGGGTTATTCAAAGGGTTCTCCTATGGGGACAGCCGTTGTACAACAACATATACTGTGGTGAAAGTGAACAAGACTCCCTAATTATGAGTAACTCAAGTGTTCTTGAGAAGCGCTATATATGGTCAGTAGAATTAAAATCCTTATTTCTGTCAAATTGCTATCAAATGCTAGGATGGTGATGAAATTGGTGACACGCTTTGGTGATTAAATTTAACTTCCTTATGTTATAATATACATTTTTACCAAGACAAATATGATTACTCATGTTATGAATCGTTCAGTGGGGTCTTTCTCTAACATATCATTAACATTATATTTTTTAAAAACAGCCTAACAAATGCAATAATGCACCGAACTCTGTTGACGCAGGTTTCTCATAAATAGCATGAGCTGGCGCACATTCAGGTTTCTCATAACAACTTTTGAGGATTTTACATTTTGTGGTGGTCGTCTGCAAAGTCGTTTCCACGGGTATCAAAAAGCTAAATTAGCATCATACGAGCTGAATTCAATGTAAATGGCTTTGGGAAAAAAAGCTTGGTATACGCTCAGTGCTCTGTTGACATTTCATAGAGATACGCTTGTTTTTGTGAGAAAAGTTTGAAAAATAACAGGAATTTCTAATTAATATGAAAAGCGTATACTAAAATATGAAAATACTACATGTCATGTCCCTATATTGTTTTGTCCTCTATATTGTTTTATGTCCTGCGGATTCGAGAAGAAAGATGACGAGTTCAACAGGAAAGTCAGCCTGTCAGGTAGCCAGTAGCATTAATTCTTGCACAGAATCCAGCCTAGCTGACGCAATACAATATACCTGATTTTAGACCACTTTTTTTTCTCTGGCCTCCATTCTTTAAGTCACCCTAATTCTGACCATCCTACAAGGGTAAAAACTCAAATAACCTTTGAACGGATTATGACAGACGTGGTTTGGACCATTGGTTTTCTTAGACGATTATCTAGACAATTAACATATTATTTTACCCATTGGTCAAAAGATGCAAATCCTGATCTTGATGGGATGGTCTGGTCGAAGCTATCTGGCATCGGTACAGCTCTATTTCTCTCTTATACGTACCATGTGTAATGTTCTGTAATTTTTCTGTAATGAACGAGTTTAGATAGCTATATTGAATACAAAGCGCCACTTATCAGTCTAGCAGACCCACTTATCTTGGCTAAAAAGGTCACATGCAAAGGAACGTTGTTTTTGCATTTGGACAACACCTCCTGCAAAGAGACTTTGAGCTTCTCCTCTGTCTTTCTCTAACGCCCTGACTAGTCCCTGGTCATGGCAGTCCTGAACCAAGCTTTATCTCTCCCCCCAGCCTTGCTAAAGAGTATGTGTGTGCGTCCCAACTGGCACTCTATTCCCTATATAGTCACTACATTTGACCAGAGCCCATTGGCACAAAAGTAGTACACTATATAGGGAATAGTGTGCCATTTGAGACGCACCCTGTATCTCTCTTACAAGCCACTCTGTGCTTGCATAAACTCTGCCACCCTATGTAGCACTCAAATCCTGTCAAACGCAGAAGAACCTTGAGGAGGACCAGGTGGCTGAATGAAGACAAAGGGGAGCTTTACCTCTGAAGGAAGAAATGTGAACAGTAGTAGGACACACAGCACAGCAGCAGCACAGGTACAAGTACTCTGGACCATGCTGCAAATGAACACAGGAAGGCAATTTTAATGTACAGATTTAAAAAATGTGCACGCTTCTCAGCACAGTATGCCATACTCGCCTGGGTCAAAATCCATAAGAGAAAGTTATTTCCCTGGTGATGTTGAAGTCGCAAGGGCATTTGTTATTTCAATTTAATGCAGTAAATGTAAGGTTCTGTATTTATTTTCTTAGTTCACCTTGTGTTCTTGAACGTAGCCCTGTCTTTCATTTTTGTTCATTGATTTCACCTGTATTAGTTACTCACCTGGTCTCATCAGCTCCTTATTTAGTTCAGTTCATTCTGTTTGTGCCTTGTGAGGTATTGTTTGTTTTGACTCTACTAAGCCTTTTCCTAGCTCGTTTGTGAGAACCAGTTATAGCCTTCAGTCCTAGTTTTGATTCACCTGCCTGTTTGCCTACCTGTGTATGACCATTGCCCGCCTGTGACCACGATTCTTGCCTCCTGCGAAGGCCTAATAAACACCTGCCGAGCTCTGTGCGTGAATCTACACCTTTTTCTCCCTGAGTATTCATTACAGTAAAATATTCTTCACCAGACGATTTTGACCCAGGCGAGTGCATCATGCTGTGCTATGCTGTGACACAAATATAAACAAAGACGGGTCAAACTCAAGCTCTGGGGGCTGTATATATCAATCTAGGATCAGTTTATCCTTTCAGATAATAATATATTAATAATTGAAAATGTGAACTTCAAGTGAACTTAACGTAAACTTCAAGACAGTGAAAACGTCCTGGAATCTGACTAATGGTAACGGGTCTGTTTTTCAACACACTACACATTGCAGAGTAGCAACAAGACAAAGTCTTGACAATTTCAATGTCCGTGGTGTCTATTTACAATAAGGTGTTACAAACAACACATTTCAATATATTCACAAGAAAAGCCCATTTGTTTTACTAACCTCCCCTCACATTTGAACTGACTAAGGTTAAGTAAAACCCTAGCAGCAGAATATACAATAACATAATACCATGACTGGTTTAAAGTCATGACTGACTAAATTACCTGACATTAGATTACCTGAAATCTGAAGCATCTATCAATTCTCAAACTAACAGAATTGGATATAATGCATACAAATACTGGTTTAAATCACATCAACAAAAAAGCTGCTTACTTTTGGTGTTCTTCAGGGACATCTTCACCTGCTCCTTCTCATGTCTGGAGTGTTTGTGGAGATGATGAAACCCTGAGAGAGAGAGAGAGAGAGAGAGAGAGAGAGAGAGAGAGAGAGAGAGAGAGAGAGAGAACATCCTGTTTAATATATCGCCCAATCAGTTAGCCACCTCCCCTCATAGGTTGGTCTACACACAAAAAACTCCTCATAGGTTGGTCTACACACAAAAAAACTCCTCATAGGTTGGTCTACACACAAAAAACTCCTCATAGGTTGGTCTACACACAAAAAACTCTTCATAGGTTGGTCTACACACAAAAAACTCCTCATAGGTTGGTCTACACACAAAAAACTATCTCTCACACACACACACACATCCTTGAAACCCCCTATGCTCCTTTGAGACCCCACGAGCTAGGAATTGCCAGGGACCTCACAATATTACCACAATACTTAGCTGCCGATACGATATGTATTGCGATTCTATATTCATTGCCATTCAATAATGTGATTTTATTGCGATTTCATAGTCCAAACATATTGCTCACCATATGTCTGATGCAGAGGGACTAGACAGAGCCAATACCAAAATTGAACTCTTTGGCCTGAATGCTATGTGTCACGTCTAGAGGAAACCTAGCACCATCCCTACGGTGAAGTATGGTGGTGGCAGCATCATGCTGTGGGGATGTTTTTCAGCGTCAGGGACTGGGAGACTAGTCAGGATCGAGGAAAAGATTAACGGAGATCCTTGATGAAAACCCTAAGCACACAGCAAAGACAACGCAGGAGTGGCTTCGGGACAAGTCTCTGAATGTCCTTGAGTGGCCCAGCCAGAGCCCAGACTTGAACCCGATCGAACATCTCTGGAGACCTGAAAATAGCTGTGCAGCAACGCTCCCCATCCAACCTGTTGTGTGTAATTGGTAGCGTCGTGTCGTTTACTCGCTCCTTGTTATTCTCTTTCTCATTGTTAAGTAAACCTTTACCTTGTTGAGTCCTGCCGCTTCGTATCCTCAGTACTCGTCACACAAGCACACATCTCATTCATGCTCCTATATCCATGGCCTACTCCCATGCTCTCTCTACATCGTCCTTTATCTACAAGTTTTCATGCAGCCTCAAATGGAAATAACACTGTGATAATACAACAATGGTTGGCCACATACAGTTGGTCCATAAGAGAAGGGCTGACTACATCATATCCCACTGTATAGAACAGATAGGGGCCACACTTACAGTACCATTCAAACACATGGCGACAAATTGTTCATGACACAAAGACAAGGCTGACCTATAATCTGCCATTGTCGCCTATAGAAAAGGGGTCCAATGCTTTGCGATTCTGATTCGGACGGCCTATGTTAAGATCAAAGATTATTTGGGATTAATAGTGTCATTGATGTCACACGTGGCAGTTGGTTTCATACAGAATACCGTTTGGGATTGGTATTACGCTATTCCGTCCATTCACTGTAGTTTCTAGACAGACAGTATGGCACAAAGCCAATACAACAACAACAAACACAATAACAAAGCAAAATAGAATGCATGTTGTGTGTTACCCTAAATTAACACTTAACTGTTGTCCTTGTCTTTCTTGCACCAACACTTAATAGCACCACAGCCGATTTCGCTGATAACTGCTGTTTTTAGGAAGGTTTTACTTGCAATAATCACTGACTGTAAATCACTCTGGTATAAGCTAAAGGACCAAAATGGAAATGAATATCACCCTGATGAAAAGAAACTAACGACCCGTATGAGAAGAAAGAAACTATCGCTGTGTCTGCAGGATGTGAAACTTTGACTAAACCGGAAATCACACAGAGGAAACAGCACTAAAACTACACTTTACTCTCTGTAAAAACAGCATTTAAAAAAAGTTATCTTTCTCGCTAATTCACCCATTAAGGTCAGGGATTGTGTCTAACTGCTTGCGATGGTGGCAGAAGTGGCAAGAGATGCCAAAGCAAATTCTAGGTAAAGATGTAGTCCCAGCCCGCTCATCAGAAAGTGGCACTTTCCACATTGTTTGTGACACATTTGTAAGAAAATATGACCCCAATCTTAGTCCACTGCTATTTGAAATATATTTGAGAGTACGCACCTACACACTCACCACCGATTTCCCCAACCAGCACAATCTTAGCAGGAACTACATCATGAATATGAAACTTTATCCAGACGTTAATATGTAAACAATAGACCTGCCCCAACAGGACGGAAACAGACAATTTTAGTGAATAAGGCTTTCTGGTTCCCCCCTATTAAACAGATGGTAACCTGCAGGGCTGGGGATGAGTAGCGCTCGAATGTGTAAGATCACACCACAAATTGGGAGTCTAGTATACTTTTAACTGAGCATAACACCATAATTCTAGTGTACTGTGAGCCAGTAAAGACAATCTACAAATGGACCATTGTCTGTTTGCTTTTTGGATGGAGCCATTTAGGTGGGTTTGTAACCTGTTTTACCAACAGGATTAGAATGTAATCTTCTGCTTTGTGCCAATGAACACTATCTAACAGATACCATTGTCTGGGCAGCAGGTAGCGGTTAAGAGCATTGGGCCAGTAACTGAAAGGTCACTGGTTCGAATCCCAGATCCGACTAGGTGAACAAAAATCTATTGATGTGCCCTTGAGCAAGGTACTTCACCCCAATTGCTCCTGTAAGTTGCTCTGGATAAGAGCGGCTGCTAAATGATTAAAATGTTAAATGTCTCTGTGTCACTCATTAAAAAAATACCAAAGGTGATGCAGAACCTGGCTTCAAGCACATGCCTCCCCACTAGAAACTGGGGTTAATTTCCTGTCTCTACCCTTCCTCCTGTGTCTTCCTCATTTCTATCTCCCAATTTGTGTCCATGCCTATCTTAACAAAGATTGAAAAAATACCTTAAAGTAGAGTGGATCTCCACTCTCTTTAAAAAACAAGGGTGACTTAAAGGTGCAATATGGTAGCGAAAATTCTGATAGTTCGCCTAATTTCAGTTTATGTGACAAAACAAGCAATGTAGAGAATTATTGTACCATTTAAACCGCTGTGAAATATATTTTCAATAACCCAAAATATTGTATTTTCAGCTGTTTGAAGCTGCTGTACAAAACCTAAAGTAAAAGACGCAAAAACTAAACTTAAGAACAGATCTATAACTCACATTTCTATGTGAAATTGGTCATGTTGATGGTGTTTCATTGAGAAGACAAACACTGCACCTTGAATCTGTATCTCTACAATAGAAAACATCAGATAAGCATTTTGAAATAGTAGCCTGTAGTCACTCCCTATCAGTTTATTGAGAAGCACTTGCATCAAAGGATAAGATGCCTGGGCTGATACTCAAACAATGACACAACAGCAATGCTCTCCAACCCTGTTCCAGGAGAGCTACCGTCCTGTAGGTTCACTCTAACTCTAATCTAGCGCACCTGATTCTAATAATTAGCTGGTTGAGAAGCTGAATCAGGATGGTTGCACCTGGAGTTGGAGCAAAAATCCACAGGAGGGTAGCTCTCCATGGACAGGATTTGGGTGCCCTGCAGAGATAAGCTGACACAGGACTTAACATCCACAGACACATGCTTACATACTCAAAAACACAGCCTTATGGTGACATTTACTTTTTGAACTATCACAGCACAGTTAAAACAGAATGTGTGTGTTGCATGTGTGTGTGTGAGAGAGAGAGAGAGAGAGTGGTCCTCTGTAGCTCAGCTGGTAGAGCACGGCGCTTGAAACGCCAAGGTAGTGGGTTCGATCCCCGGGACCACCCATACACAAAAATGTATGCACGCATGACTGTAAGTCGCTTTGGATAAAAGCGTCTGCTAAATGGCATATTATTATTATTATTATAGAGAGAGAGAGAGAGAGAGAGAGAGAGAGAGAGAGAGAGAGAGAGAGAGAGAGAGAGAGAGAGAGAGAGAGAGAGAGAGAGAGAGAGAGAGAGAGAGAGAGAGAGAGAGTCTGTATGTCCTGTGAGAACATGAAGATGATGTGAGAGACACTAATCTTGTGGTGAATGCATGAGAAGAACAGTTTACACCACCACCACTACAATAGGCACACTACAGTGTGCACAACAATGTGGTTTGAAATGAATATTATCGAGTTGTCTGTTGATTGAGCCACACAGGCGCTCCCAAAAACCTATAGATTGTAGTGAGATGTTGGCCCTAGACGCTGATCTTGGGTCAGTTTAGCATTTTTCACATTAACGGTTACGGTTAGGATTGAGGGAGGGGAAGCTGATCCTAGATCTGTACCTAGGGGAAACTTTATCTCGGAAACCAATTGCAGCAGACCTGATGCCTATCAGAGGCCTGTAGCAGTGAACACCTGGATAAAGTTGATGGCATGGAACTAGCCCATTCTGACAGTGCACATATCAACCAGATTAGGCTTTAAGGCCTGCTGTGTGTTCACTTATTTTGACCAAGGCCCAGTGCACTAATATATAGGAAATAGGCAATTTGGGACAGTGACGATGTATCATTTCAAATGAAATGAATACAAGACAATGTAGCAAAAGTATCCTCTATAGCCTCTATCTGGCTGCTATGGTCCTACACACTATATTTAATGTTTCCCCTATGCTACTTCACATGTAATTAGCTGGTGCTATTATTACTTTAAAACACCCAATCAACATGGTTCTGTGTCTTGGTAGTCTGTAATGGGTTGGTGAGTTTTCAATGAATCAAACTACTCTTCACCATCACTTTTATCTAGCATGTCACATTTGAGTTTACTGTGTAAAAACATTAAAGTACAATTAATACTGTTCAATCCTTCACCAGTCAGATAAATGTAGCCTATCATATAAATCTATGTCATCTCATATTGTTTGAGAACTTTAAGTCCCCAGTTCAAATTAGATTATTTATTATGAATATGAAATCATATGGCATGATGATATTCCTTAATCAAAACATAATTCGTTATAAATTAGTGTAATATACATTAGTTGCAATGTATTGATGCAATGTAGGTAGCCTAACAAAGATTGCATGAATTCGATCAATTATACACAAAATACACATTATTCAGTGATGCCATTTGTTTTTTGGGACACACATTGTTATTCATGCCAAAGATTCGGAATTTTACCACCAGTCCACAACTTGTTACATTTAATAAACATGTATTATTACTCATGAATGTCTTACCGTAAATATATTTTGAAAACCTAAGAAAAGCCTAGAACTTACCGTGTAGAACCACAAATATTGTTCCCTGTAGCTGTCAGCCGAAGGTGTCTATACAGTGGGTAAATGCATGCAAGACTGAGGGATGGCGACTATGCGTCGCACTATTCTTTAGGGTCAAATCTGACACAATTCTGAAAGATGACAATATTTGAAGACGATGTATCCAAACGTACACACTCCGAAACGCAGTTGTCAAAAAACAACTGCTTTCTACGCACGATATTAGACAAATCCCCGAAGACTTCTAGGCTACACTTAAACGCATGCGCCATGCACTGGAAAATTGTCACTACATAATAATATTTCCGTTGTTACCAACTGTACAAGGGCGAGTCGGTCCATCCCGTCTAAATACCCGTTATTTATAAATGTATGTTTCCTAAATGTGCTATTCAGGCATTAAATGGTGGCGCTAAAATGTGTTCCTCTTCAAGTGCGGACATGGAGATCGTCTGAATCAGGCTTTCAGTCTTTTTATAAGGCTAAGACCTTATCATTAACTTAAAATGTTTGTTCGTTTAGTTTTATGTGGAGTCTAAATGGCACACAGAAGGTCACTTCTGTATTTCCTGTCCTTGTGCACTTTCCCAAAATGTTTGTTAGTGTAGTCAGTGGCACACTAACATATTCCACCTAACCAGTGGTGTAAAGTAATAAGTAAAATTGTGTTAGTAAGTAAAAATACTTTGAAGTACTAAAGTAGTTTTTTGGTGTATCTGTACTTTACTATTTATATATGTGACAATTGCATACTTTTTGCACCACTGTACTTAAGTACATTAAAAACCAGATACTTTTAGACTTTTACTCAGGTAGTATTTTACTGGGTTACTCACTTGAGTCATTTTCTATTAAGGTATCTTTACTTTTACTCAAGTATGACAATTCAGTTCTTTTTCCACCACTGCACCTAACACTTGTCCAAATACATCAAGCATCTTCAGATAAGTCACAACTAGCAAACAAAAACGGTTGTACAATTCTTTATTTCTGTACAACTATTTAAGTAAAAAAAAAAAAAAAAACAACAAGCAACTGCAAATTCTGAATCCACCAAGGCAATTCAGTACAACTACAGTAGAATCCTCAGGACATGTATTAAAAACAAAATAATCTATAGGCTACAGCGAAACAGATACAGTGCCTTCAGAAAGTATTCACACCCCTTGACTTTTTCAACATTGTGTTGTTACAGCCTGAATTTAAAACTGATTAAATGTAGATGTTTTTGGTCACTGGCCTACACACAATACCACATAATGTCAAAGTGGAGTTATATTTTTAGAAATGTTTACAAATTAATTAAAAATGAAAAGCTGAAATGTCTTGAGTCAATAAGTATTCAACACCTTTGTTATGGGAAGCCTTAATAAATTCAGGAGTAAAGAATTGCTTAAGTCACATAATAGGTTTCATGGACTCTGTGCAATAGTGTTTAAAATGGATGTTTGAATGACTACATCTCTGTACCCCACACATATATCTGTCAGGTCCCTCAGTCGAGCAGTGAATTTCAAACACAGATTCAACCACAAAGACCAGGGAGGTTTTCCAATGCCTCGCAAAGAAGGGAACCTATTGGTAGATGGGTAAAAAGTACACAGACATTGAATCTCTTTGAGCATGGTGAAGTTATTAATTACACTATGGATGGTGTATCAATACACCCAGTCACTAAAATGACAGGCATCCTTCCTAACTCAGTTGCCGGAGAGGAAGGAAACCGCTCTGGGATTTCACGATGAGGCCAATGGTGACTTTAAAACAGAGTTTAATGGCTGTGATAAGAGAAAACGGAGGATGGATCAACAACATTGTAGTTACTCCACAATACTAACCTAATTGACAGAGTGAAAAGAAGGAAGCCTGTTCAGATTGAAAATATTCCAAAAACATACATCCTGTTTGCAACAACTCACTAAAGTAATACTGCAAAAAATGTGGCAACGCAATTAACTTTTTGTCCAGAATATAAAGTGTTGTATTGGATTTGCCCCCCAAAAATTTCTGAGTACCACTCCATATGTTCAAGCATATTGGTGGCTGCATCATGTAATGGGTATGCTTGTAGTAGTTAAGGACTGGGGAGTTTTTCAGGATAATAATAAACGTTATGGAGCTAAGCAAGGGCAAAATCCTAGAGGAAAACCTGGTTCAGTTTGCTTTCCACCAGACACTGGGAGATTAATTCACCTTTCAGCAGGACAATAACCTAAAACACAAGGCCAAATCTACACTGCAGTTGCTTACCAAGAAGACAGTGAATGTTTGAGTGGCAGTTAGATTTTCAAGCAGATTTAAGTCAAAACTATGGCAAGACTTGAAAATGGTTGTCAAGCAATGATCAACAACCAACTTGACAGAGCTTGAAGAATTCTGAAAAGAATAACGGGCAAATATTGTACGATCCAGGTGTGCAAAGCTCTTAGAAAGACTTGCAGCTGTAATCGCTGCCAAAGGTGATTCTAACATTTATTGACTCAGCGGTGTGAATACATAAATGAGATATCTATATTTCATTTTCAATAAATTAGCAAAAATTTCAAAAAACATGTTTTCACTTCGTCATTATGGGCTATTGTGTGTTTTATTTTTCCCATTTTGAATTCAGGCTGTAACAACAAAATGTGGAATAAGTCAAGGGATATGAATACTTTCTGAAGGCACTGTATGTACAGTATCTGGCTAAATTATTAGAAAACAAAATATGCATCAATATTTTCTCAAACTGATTTGTGGTTTGTGAGTGAATTTCAAAGTGAAGGGACATCTGTGGCCTTTTCTCATTTGGGAAAAAGGCAGTCCTCCACCCTCTCTCCTCAGTGACCAGGAACCCGATAAGTGGTCGAGGAGATGTCAATTTGTTAATGGGTGAATGGAAGAGTGCCCTCCCCTCCTCGATAGCCACCTTTCATCGAGGATAGTCATGCGAGTCCTTTGTGGAAGAGTTTTGAAATCTGCCACACCTTCTTTGAACCAGCTTTAGTTTTTTCTGAGGAGAAAAGCATGCACACGTTGAAAAACAATATGCTACTTACCTTGCACAACTTAATTTGTTTTTATTACTTTAAACATTTATCTTGGGATCCACCCTTGTAAATGTCATTCATGCGACACGCGAGTGGAGAAGTAGAGTAATTTCATACAAGCATATTTGTCCACATTACCTCTCCTCGCTGCCTCTCCATGATTACTTTTGACCTTTTTCAAAAGGAGGCGAGAGAGGACGGAGGAGAGAGGACACAGGATTTTAGAAAATACAATTGAGAAAAAGGCCAGAGTTCCAAACAACCACCATTCCCAATGTGTTCATCCCTCTGAGGTCCTACCGTAGTAGTGCAACATGTTGTTGTGTTTGGACATCTAGACACTACAGCTTGCCGGCATCCTTGAACTTGCTGAGCAGGCCTTGGTCAGCCCGCAGGGGGAAGGAGAGGGAGCGACTGTGGTAGTACTGGGAGTCCGCCTGGAGGTTCTGGATGACGTCCGAAAGCAGGTGGGCATGCTCCACCCCGCAGCCCGGGGCCTCGTAGCTCAGGGCGGTGAAGTGGATGTGGAAGTGGTAGTAGGAAGGCTGGTAGTGGAGGTACACCCTCAGCTTACTGACTGCCACACCGTACCGCTTCAGAATGCTCTCCTGTGATAGGGGAAAGCACCATGAAAAACAAGCACAACTATTTGACAGAGTAACGTGAAGTTGCCCCTAGACCCCTCAAACTCAACTCTGGACCTCGAAGCCAGTTCAACTACAGTTTTTCATTGTTCCCCTCTAATAAAGGACTGATTTAGACCGGGGACACCAGGTGTGTGCAATTAATTATCAGGTAGAACATAAAACCAGCAGGCTCCAGACCACGTAGGGTAAGAGTTGAGTTCCCCTGTCCTAGACACTGATCTTGGGTGAGTTTTGCCCCACTAATGGTTAAGGTTAGGATTGGGAGAGGGGAAGCTGATCATGAATCTGTACCTAGGGGAAACTTCACCCTGGAATGTATTTGATAGGAAAGGAAATGGTTTGATGACAAGAAGGTTGCTAAATAAACAGTCAGTATTCCTAGGCAAAGTAAGTCCCATCCCTCTAACAATCGCAATACGCTCAACAAGCAAATTTAAATAAGAAAATATGTATGATTATAGGATCATTCTCACCTCTCCCTTCTTGCGGATGTTGGTCAGCAATGGCAGATGCAGCGCTGTCAGGTCCCGCAAACTTTTGATGTCCCTTCGATGAACGATGGCAATCAAATGCAAGTCATCCAACTAGGAGAAGGGGGGGGTGAAAGTAACCATAAATCATGTGCTCAATAGGAGGCTTAGATCCTTCCTCATTGTGAATGGCATCTCCATTGTCCACTGTGACCATATGTATAAATTGTCTCAAAGTTGAAGCATTTTAGATCACAATGAATAAGATTACATGGACAGGATCATACATACTGTACAAGGTATCTCACCTGCTTTTGGTCCCACTTGAAATCTGGGAGCAGGACAAAGCCGACGTCCTGGTCTGGGTCCTCATAAACCATGCGCTCTGCCTCCGCTTTCTTCTCCAAGATGTTGTACACCCACTGGAGGGAAAAAACACAGCGACAATAACATCTTTTTCACATAAATCATAGAAGTGCAGGTTTACAAATCAGGATCTCTCAATATTGGCCACCATTAATTAGATATTTGAGTGATATAAAAGTAAACTATACCTGACAAGTATGACAAGTTTAGGTTAATTTCCCCATCCTTTGTGGGCTCTGCCTGTCAAGCAGCAGAAGGGCACATTTGCCGATGTACTGTTACTGTTCTGTGTACTGTTTCCAATACCTGCCATCCGTTGAAAATTGCCCACTCGTGTTCTATGTGGTGATGCAAACACCTTTACTAGTGAAGGGCATTTCAAGTCTTTTCAGTTAGCCTTTTGATTCCGCTGTGTTCACCTAAAAGAGCCGGCTCCAAACACCTCTTTGTTCAGTAGCCATGATTGTGTTAAATAAACATGGGTGGGGCCTCCAAATCACTAAGTACGCCCCTGTCCGTGGTATCACTTTAACCCTTTAAGATCAGAGGAAGAAAGCCCGCACTAATGACTTCTCCAGCATCCGTGGAGCATTGCCCAATCTGGCTCTTCTATATGGATGGTATTGTTATCCCAGATTGAGGATGATCCCCTGTAAAAACTGTGCATTTACTGAGTTGACAATCAATGTCTCCGGATGTGGAGTGGGAGACTGTGTGTGTAGTGGTATAATGTGGGACTAATAATTACACCTTGAAAGCAATGAAATGCTACCTGTACACTGAAGCTCTGACTCTGAATGTAAGGTAGGGTGATAGAGCGGTAGTCCTCCCCAGACTCCTGCACCAAGTAGGTCTCCTGGCGCAGGTATTTCTTCACATGCTTCTCTGTGGCCGGACACACCACTGTGGTCTTGATCTCTTTGGAACCAAGGAACAAGACAAGGATCAACACCACATCAGATTTCAGTCAGAGATTTGAATTGGATTATGAAGTGATAATGATGCCACTTCCCATTGCAGAATTACTTGATTTGGTGAAATGTATTGAATATACAGCTGTCCCCGACTAAAACAAATCTTGGTCAACCGAGAGTGGTCCTGTTCTTTCAACCAATCGATTGGTTGAGTAAAACCAACTACATATGCACTGAGCTTGTAGGATGCTTTAAGCTGTTTGATTAAATAATGAAAGACACAAATGATTCAAGAAAGAGCACGATGGTCACACTTTTTAAAAAATGACAGCGAGTGTGACTGGCACACGTTTTCTCGCACTGCTCTCTACTGCAGCGAAAAGGCACCACAGCAAGTGTTTATTGTGCTGTCCATGTTGAAGCTGCAACAATTTCAGCCATTTAGTTTCTTATTGAAAAGTTCTGTTACCGAAATCCCTAATTTGTTTAGGAAAAACGTTGCATATTCCAACAACCCGTGCTCTCTTTACGTGAAACATGTAAGCATTGCATGCGACCAAGGAAGTGTGATAATAATCATTAAGATATATTAGAGATTCGCAGTAGACGTCCTAAATACCCCACAGCCTTCAGATGTGAGATAAACAGTGCACTTGCACTTGAGATGCGTTTTAAGGCTATGGATACAAAAGTGAACTTATCATTTCAAAACGTTTAGGTCAGTTGTATGCCGCTTTGCGATCTATTAACAGCAAGGGTTACATTAAATAGGCAAAATATTTTTTGCTGATACAAAAGGGAAACCCAGCCTCGAGCTGCCCAGTGACGCGAGCCTACCAGATGAGCTAAATGCCTTTTTTGCTCGCTTCAAGGCAAGTAACACTGAAGCATGCATCAGAGCACCAGCTGTTCCGGACGACTTTGATCACGCTCTCCGTAGCCGATGTGAGCAAGACCTTTAAACAGGTCAACATTCCCAAGGCCGCGGGGCCAGACGGATTACCAGGACTTGTACGGACCAACTGGCAAGTGTCTTCACAGACATTTTTAACCTCTCCCTGACCGAGTCTGTAATATCTACATGTTCCAAGCAGACCACCATAGTCCCTGTACCCAAGAAAGCGAAGGTAACCTGCCTAAATGACTACCGACCCGTAGCACTCACGTCCGTCGCCATGAAGTGCTTTGAAAGGCTGGTCATGGCTCACATCAACACCATCATCCCGGAAACCCTAGACCCACTCCAATTCACATACCGCCCCAACAGATCCACAGATGACACAATCTCAAATTGCACTCCACACTACCATTTCCCGCCTGGACAAAAGAAACACCTACAGTGGGTAGAACAAGTATTTGATACACTGCCGATTTTGCAGGTTTTCCTACTTACAAAGCATGTAATGGTCTGTAATTTTTATCATAGGAACACTTCAACTGCGAGACTGAATCTAAAACAAAAATCCAGAAAATCACATTGTATGATTTTTAAGTAATTAATTTGCATTTTATTGCATGACATAAGTATTTGATCACCTACCAACCAGTAAGAATTCCGGCTCTCACAGACCTGTTCGTTTTTCTTTAAGAAGCCCTCCTGTTCTCCACTCATTACCTGTATTAACTGCACCTGTTTGAACTCGTTACCTGTATAAAAGACACCTGTCCACACACTCAATCAAACAGACTCCAACCTCTCCACAATGGCCAAGACCAGAGAGCTGTGTAAGGACATCAGGGATAAAATTGTAGACCTACACAAGGCTGGGATGGGCTGGGCTACAGGACAATAGGCAAGCAGCTTGGTGAGAAGGCAACAACTGTTGGCGCAATTATTAGAAAATGGAAGAAGTTCAAGATGACGGTCAATCACCCTCGGTCTGGGGCTCCATGCAAGATCTCACCTCGTGGGGCATCAATGATCATGAGGAAGGTGAGGGATCAGCCCAGAACTACACGGCAGGACCTGGTCAATGACCTGAAGAGAGCTGGGACCACAGTCTCAAAGAAAACCATTAGTAACACACTACGCCGTCATGGATTAAAATCCTACAGCGCACGCAAGGTCCCCCTGCTCAAGCCAGCGCATGTCCAGGCCCGTCTGAAGTTTACCAATGACCATCTGGATGATCCAGAGGAGGAATGGGAGAAGGTCATGTGGTCTGATGAGACAGAAATAGAGCTTTTTGGTCCACTAGCCGTGTTTGGAGGAAGAAGAAGGATGAGTACAACCCCAAGAACACCATCCCAACCGTGAAGCATGGAGGTGGAAACATCATTCTTTGGGGATGCTTTTCTGCAAAGGGGACAGGACGACTGCACCGTATTGAGGGGAGGATGGATGGGGCCATGTATCGCGAGATCTTGGCCAACAACCACCTTCCCTCAGTAAGAGCATTGAAGATGGGTCGTGGCTGGGTCTTCCAGCATGACAACGACCCGAAACACACAGCCAGGGCAACTAAGGAGTGGATCCGTAAGAAGCATCTCAAGGTCCTGGAGTGGCCTAGCCAGTCTCCAGACCTGAACCCAATAGAAAATATTTGGAGGGAGCTGAAAGTCCGTATTGCCCAGAGACAGCCCCGAAACCTGAAGGATCTGAAAAAGGTCTGTATGGAGGAGTGGGCCAAAATCCCTGCTGCAGCGTGTGCAAACCTGGTCAAGACCTACAGGAAATGTATGATCTCTGTAATTGCAAGCAAAGGTTTCTGTATCAAATATTAAGTTCTGCTTTTCTGATGTATCAAATACTTATGTCATGCAATAAAATGCAAATTAATTACTTAAAAATCATACAATGTGATTTTCTGGATTTTTGTTTTAGATTCCGTCTCACAGTTGAAGTGTACCTATGATAAAAATTACAGACCTCTACATGCTTTGTAAGTAGGAAAACCTGCAGAATCGGCAGTGTATCAAATACTTGTTCTCCCCACTGTATATGAGAACGCTGTTCATTGACTACAGCTCAGCGTTCAACACCATAGTGCCCACAAAGCTAAGGACCCTGGGACTAAACACACCCCTCTGCAACTGGATCCTGGACTTCCTGACGGGCCGCCCCCAGTTGGTAAGGGTAGGCAACAACACATCTGCCACACTGATCCTCAACACGAGGGCCCCTCAGGGGTGCGTGCTCAGTCCCCTCCTGTACTCCCTGTTCACCCACGACTGCGTGGCCAGGCACGACTCCAACACCATCATTAAGTTTGCCGAAGACACAACAGTGATAGGCCTGATCACCGACAACGATGAGACAGCCTATATGGAGGAGGTCAGAGACCTGGCCGTGTGGTGCCAGGATAACAACCTCTTCCTCAATGTGATCAAGACAAAGGAGATGATTGTGGACTACTGGGGGAAAAAAGAGGACTGAGCACGCCCCCATTCTCATCGACGGGGCTGTAGTGGAACAGGTTGAGAGCTTCAAGTTCTTTGGTGTCCACATCACCAACAAAATATAAAATGGTCCAAACACACCAAGACAGTCGTGAAGAGGGCACGACAAAGCCTATTCCCCCTCGGGAGACTGAAAAGATTTGGCATCGGTCCTCAGATACTCAAAAAGTTATACAGCTCCACCATCGAGAGCATGCTGACTGGTTGCATCACCGCCTGGTATGGCAACTGCTCGGCCTCCGACCGCAAGGCACTACAGAGGGTAGTGCGTAAGGCCCAGTACATCACTGGGGCCAAGCTTCCTGCCATCCAGGACCTCTATACCAGGCGGTGTCAGAGGAAGGCCCTCAAAATTGTCAAAGACTACAGCCACCCTAGTCATAGACTGTTACCTCTGCTACCGCACGGCCAGCGGTACCGGAGCGCCAAGTCTAGGTCCAAAAGGCTTCTTAACAGCTTCTACCCCCAAGCCATAAGACTCCTGAACAGCTAATCATGGCTACCCGGACTATTTGCATTGCCCCCCTAGCCCACCCCAACCCCCTCTTTTACACTGCTGCTACTCTGTTTATTATTTATGCATAGTCACTTTAACTCTACCCACATGTACACTACCGTTCAAAAGTTTGGGGTCACTTCGAAATGTCCTTGTTTTTGAAAGAAAAATCATTTTTTTGTCCATTAAAATACCATCAAATTGATCAGAAATACAGTGTAGACAGTGTTAATGTTGTAAATGGCTATTGTAGCTGGAAACAGCCGATTTTTTATGGAATGTCTACATAAGCGTACAGAGGCCCATTATCAGCAACCATAAGTCCGGTGTTCCAATGGCACGTTATGTTTGCTAATCCAAGTTCATCATTTTAAAAGGCTAATTGATCATTAGAAATCCCTTTTGCAATTATGTTAGCACAGCTGAAAACTGTTGTGCTGATTAAAGAAGCAATAAAACTGGCCTTCTTGAGACTAGTTGAGTATCTGGAGCATCATCAATTGTTGGTTTGATTACAGGCTCAAAATAGCCAGAAACAAATAACTTTCTTCTGAAAGTTGTCAGTCTATTCTTGTTCTGAGAAATGAAGGCTATTCCATGCAAGAAATTGCCAAGAAACTGAAGATCTCGTAAAATGCTGTGTACTACTCCCTTCACAGAACAGCGCAAACTGGCTCTAACCAGAATAGAAAGAGCTGGAGGCCCCGGTGCACAACTGAGCAAGAGGACAAATACATTAGTGTCTAGTTTGAGAAACAGACGCCTCATAGGTCCTCAACTGGCAGCTTCATTAAATAGTACCCGCAAAACACCAGTCTCAACGTCAACAGTGAAGAGGCGACTCCGGGATGCTGACCTTCTAGGCAGAGTTGCAAAGAAAAAGCCATATCTCAAATAACAAAAACGTAGCTATAGGTTTGTCGTAACATTTAAAGTTAAACCATATTGTTCATTTTTTTGCACTGCATGGATCACCGGTGTGGTTGAATGCAGCATTGCTGTATGGTGCACTCAAAATGTATTGTAGTTGTGTAGCCGGCCTAATCTACTGCTCAAATGTTGCTGTAATAGTACTTTTTATTTTATTAATAGGCCTACATGTTTCTCCTTTGCATGGTGTTTTGTTGCAGGTTTTATTTTTTGGTTATTCATAGTCAAGCTTTAAAAACCAAAGCCAGACTGCAAAATGTTAGTAGCCTAGCTAGGACTGTGGCAGTTGTCTGTACACTTTCCCTCCGCTGCGCGCTGTAAACTGGACACACGAAAGCAGCGCAATTGAAGTTGAATTCACCGATGTGAGCGCATCAGGCTGTAATTTCATAAAGTATATGACTCAACTGTTGACTCAATTATACTAGCATGAATGTCCTAGTCTGCCCGCGGGCCTTGTGTGACACATGCGCTAGCCTATTAGCCACGTTATGACTGACGTGATCATTGCCCTTGCTAGTTTGATTGTATTGACATTCCCAGCCTTAATTACAGTTGTCTGTTTTTGTTCAAAATATTAGTCATTAAAACAAACAGTGTATCCCGAATGAGTGGAGGCAGCAAACAATGTAACAGGCCAGCTGCGATTTACAACCTGACAGCAATAAAAAAAAATGGGACTATCAAGAAATATAATTATTCATGCATTGAACTGCTGCCATCTTTTCTGCCAACAATGCCTTATTGTAAATCATGGAATGTTGAGTCCAATAGAACCTATTTCTAAAACCTCTAGTTAGTTTTGAAGCATAAACTGGAAATTTTATCATTTTTACTGATATGAGTATTTGTTTGATATCTGCAAAGTAGTTAAAACACTGTCAGTACCACTTTAAGGGTTGGTTTCTGGGACACAGATTATGCCTAGTCCTGGAATAAAAAGTTATTCAATGAAGATTCTCCACTGAGCATGCCTTTTAGTCCAGGACTAGGCTTAATCTGTGTCTGGGAAACCGGGCCTAATTGTGTGTGTCATATCATTATGCCCTATTTTTACCCAGTCAAAACACTTCACAGCAAATATCAGTGTGAAGTTGTGTAAGGGAAATTGAAATTGGGGAACAGTGTGCTAGTCTGATTTAGGCATGTTAGCTACTAGGTGGCACTAGTAGTTCCTACTGTGTTCTCTGTCAAGGGAGTCACGCATTTTCACATCATATAAATGTTCATGTCATTTTGGGGCAGTTCTAGCCTGTGTATCCTGGGGCATACCATTCAAATGAGCAGGGGGTTGGAGTTGATATGTGCTGTAGATATCATTCCTCATGTCCAACTTCAGTCTGGAGCCATTGAAAATCTCCAACAGGGTGTCCTCCCTGATAGGGGTCTTCTCCAGAATGATGACAGCCTCCTGGTCGTTCAACTGATAGGGAATTAGGGAAATAATACATTGTTGTTTGAGATTCAATGACTGTCCACCTTGTTAACTAGCTAGCTAGACAATCTAACGTTAACAAGGTTAAGCATTTAACTACATGTATTGTCATATACTTGGACAGGACATGCATGATACAAATAGAAACACTTTTACTCAAACGACACCTCGCGGCCGGCTATCGCTAAACTGATTCGTACACGTGCCGACTGCTCACATTAACAACAGGCAAGCGAGACGAATTATGCGACGCGAACTTCTACCAAGCTACTAACAGTTGCAGTTTAAGTGGCTGCAAGTGTGGTGCAACCACAGTTTTCCAAGCTATATAAGATACAGCTATATAACGTTACCACCTATAAACATATATAAGCTCTTTCGTTTTAGTTTAGCTAGCTACTAGCCAACATTGACTAACTAGCTAGATACCTAGATACTGTAACGTTAGCCACCTTTCCGTGTATGAACATATTTTTCTCCCGTGCAGAGTCCCGCAGAACCGTTGTTGTTTTAAATCCGAACAAAGGATTTGCAGATGCTGATTGATCGCGATTTTCCTCGTCACTATTCGCTTCATTCTTTAATCGTTTGGCCTTTGCAGCATCAGTTTCATTTCTGTCCGCAAAATCAACTTCACGTTTACCAGTTTCCGCCATTTTTATTCTAGGGTACTTCTTCTTCGGTGGGGTTTTACGGCAGACTAAATCCTTATTGCCGCCTCCTACTGGGTGAGGTGAAAACTGTGAAACTTTAACATAAGAAATAGAGGAAGGGTGACAAAACTAACTCATATTCTCCAAAAACAAACAGCCCAAAATAATATATATTATTATTATATAAATAATATTATCCGTCTTATTCATGTCTACTCAGATCCCTACACAGGCTCTGGGGCCTGAGAGGGGGGAACTTATTTGGACAATATTCCTTGCAATGTTTCAGCTGTGAAGTCATGTAGATCCAAAAACATTTTAGCCACATTCACAATGATTTCCAATTTCTGCTGGGCATTTATCACCTGGGCATTGAATGCAACAAAACCCACTTTCTTCACGATCTTTAGGCCTATATCAGGATCTCTCAACTGCTGAACAACATTCTCAGCACACTGCGGGGCTTCCACTGCCATGTCTTCCTCATCTTCATTTGGTCAAACTATTTCCACTGCCTCTGCATAGGAGACATGCTGGACAAGCCTGACACTTTCTATTTCGATCCAGTAGCGTTGCGTGGGTAAAATCACTGAGGAAGCCGAGCCAAGCCAGTAAAAAAGCAATATTGCAACCTATGTTGTGATAATTACGTTGTTTGCTCTATAACCCATTCGTTCATAAGCCACCATGATATACAATAAGGCCATGACAACAGTCACACAGTAGCGGAATAAATTCAACCACACATTTTTACATTTACATTTAAGTCATTTAGCAGACGCTCTTATCCAGAGCGACTTACAAATAGGTGCATACACATACATTTGTTTCATCACAAAACCGGAGAGTAACATCTGTCCGGTGTAGTCCACAAAGCAAATATTGCATGTAACAAACAGGTATATCACCTGCAGCATGGTCAAGCAAGTTAATGTTTTGTCAGTTTAATAAACAACTACTGATTTAGAACCACAGAGTTACCGCAAGTCAGCACAAAGACAACAGGAGCACTGCCTCCGCTATTCCAGCACCATTTCAACTGAAACATTTAAACATCATCAAATCAACAAGGCTATATATGCTTACTTTAATACACTGAAAACAAACTTAAAGATACCAAAAACGATTTAGTCCAATCAATGTTGCTAATCATGTGGCTGTTCATGGTAATGATTTATGTCTGTGTGTGTGTGTGCATATGCAAGTAAAAACTTTTTTTTGGACTCACCCTACTTGTAGACTAGTTGAATGCCAACGCCATCCTCCTCTCTTTCATGTTGGCAAAACGGTCAATGGCTCTGTCATACAGTACACTTTTAGTTTTTGTTGTCATAGGCTACCTAGCTAAAATGCTTGCTAGCCTAACTTCCTCATTTGGGCAACAATGAACCACAGAACCAGCTAAGTTTGCTAGCTAGCTAGTTAACATGAGCCTACTAGGCTACATCTAGGCTACATACTGTATTGAACATCAATCGTCTCAGGCCCCTGGCACAACATTAATTTATAATCATTGGCCTGTACAGAGAATTAAGTCAAAACCACAAGTCCAAATCCCCTTCATCATCAATGGCTTAGAAAAGGGCCGATTTAGCAAGCTAGCTACTGCAGGACATAAACACAAGCAGACCAGAAACAGACATTTCTCTGAAAATGATGTTTTGCTTAGGAAGTGATTTGATTGGTCTGAAGCCAAATCCAAACTGGCTTCCCTTGGGGGGCGTTTTGCTGCACCAGGACAACCCTAGTTGAGCTCAGCTCAATGCTGATTGCCTAATTATTTTATATATTTTTTTTATCAAGTGAGGCCAAATGCTTGCTGGAATCAATCAATCAAATGCTACGGCGGCAACATGTTATATACTCTTTAGGTCCAAACAGCATCAGATACCTGGGCTACACATACTGAGACAGAAGAGGGGCGGCAGGTAGCTTAGTGGTTAAGAGCGTTGTACCAGTAACCGAAAGGTCGCTGGTTCTAATCCCCAAGCCGACTAGGTGAAAAATCTGTCGATGTGCCCTTGAGCAAGGCACTTAACCCTAATTGCTCCTGTAAGTCGCTCTGGATAAGAGCGTCTGCTAAATGACCAATTTATTTTTATTTATAGGGGCGCTGTTTCCCTCTCTCGGATGATTTCTCCGGTGATATTCAGCCACTTGCGAATTGACGGAAAATTAAGAAAACAAAGAGAGAGAAAGATACATTATTTTATTATTTTATTTCAAAAAATGTTGGAGAAGCCTGACTTCCCTTGGCATCCATGAATACACACCACTGCTTCGATCTCCTCCATCCTAACCGGGTACTCCTGGAACATGATTCCCTCTACATTTGCAGAATCATTGATCCTTAGACTCTACTTAAGTGAAAGTGCCCGAGAAGCCGGCGTTTGTAGGATACAGTGTTGTTGTCGAGGGCCGGCAAACCGTGCCAATATATCCTCCAAACACCGGCTTCGAGGGCATTATCACTTTTATTCAACGGGTTACCAACATATTCAAATAATGATTTACATATTTTCATTAACGTTATTTTGATTATTTTATTCATACTATTTCATCCTTCCACACAATATAGTCCCGACACAAATCTAGGGTTGCTACCCAAGCCAGCTAGTCATTCGTTCTATTGGTTTGGTTGCCAGAGACGTGACCCAGTCGTTCAGTCTTTTTGTTTTGTGTCTATGGATGCGACCCAGTAGTTCGTTCTAAATGTTCCATTGCCATACTGGCCAGTATTGCCAACTTGCGACAAATCTAGCTACTTTTTCTGGTCCTATTGGAGACTTTTGGAGACTCTGACGTGAAAGCACGTCTCGTTCTTACTCTTCTCAACGAGCAGCGGGTGCTGCCGTGGGCCTCAACGAGCAGCGGGTGCTGCCGTGGGCCCCACCCAGGCCCCACCCAGGCCCCACCCCCCACACTCGACCCGCTGCTCGTGGGCCCCACCCCCGTCCCAAAGCACTCACAGGCGGCCCAGTCCTTTCGCAGCAGTCCCTCCCAGCTGCAGTCAGGGCAGGAGATGCTCACCCCTCCGCGTCCAGACTGCAAATTAATCGCGCATGCGGGAAGCCGCCGCTGGCTGATGCTGCCCTGGCTTACATTCAGGGCGGGATGTAAATGTAAAATGTTCTTTGTCTAAAATAAATCACTGCATTTTACTCACACAGCCTCAGACACTTACTCACCTCCTCCACTGTGTGTGTGCCTCTCTGTGACATAAGCTAAACATCTAGCTGGCTAGCTCATCATGTCTCAGTCTAAACTGTACACTCAAAAATACTGCCTGTATTGTAAGGTTGATTTCTACACCAAACTTAGTGATGTAAAAAAACACATGACAACTTAAAAACATACTCAAAAGGCAAAGCCTTATAACAGTTCCACCCGAAACAAGCTGCCATTTATGGTTAAAAAAATTGACTGCAAAAAAGGCTGAGGCCACCATGGCATTAGCTATCGCTGAACACTGTTCCATGCTGGCATGTGATCACATTGGAGAAGCATGTAGAGTTGCTTTCTCAGACTCCACTGCTGCTACCCACTTCAAAATGCACAGGACAAAGTGCACATAAATGGTTAATGGTGTTCTAGCACCATACTTTCTGAAAAAGTTGGTCGCAGATGTGGGTGACCAGCGTTTCAGCCTCCTCCTCGATGAATCCACGGATGTACAGTGAGGGAAAAAAGTATTTGATCCCTTGCTGATTTTGTAAGTTTGCCCACTGACAAAGACATGATCAGTCTATAATTTTAATGGTAGGTTTATTTGAACAGTGAGAGACAGAATAACAACAAAAAAATCCAGAAAAACGCATGTCAAAAATGTTATAAATTGATTTGCATTTTAATGAGGGAAATAAGTATTTGACCCCTCTGCAAAACATGACTTAGTACATGGTGGCAAAACCCTTGTTGGCAATCACAGAGGTCAGACGTTTCTTGTAGTTGGCCACCAGGTTTGCACACATCTCAGGAGGTATTTTGTTCCACTCCTCTTTGCAGATCTTCTCCAAGTCATTAAGGTTTCGAGGCTGACGTTTGGCAACTCGAACCTTCAGCTTCCTCCACAGATTTTCTATGGGATTAAGGTCTGGAGACTGGCTAGGCCACTCCAGGACCTTAATGTGCCTCTTCTTGAGCCACTCCTTTGTTGCCTTGGCCGTGTGTTTTGGGTCATTGTCATGCTGGAATACCCATCCACGACCCATTTTAAATGCCCTGGCTGAGGGAAGGAGGTTCTCACCCAAGATTTGACAGTACATGGCCCCATCCATCGTCCCTTTGATGCGGTGAAGTTGTCCTGTCCCCTTAGCAGAAAAACACCCCCAAAGCATAATGTTTCCACCTCCATGTTTGACGGTGGGGATGGTGTTCTTGGGGTCATAGGCAGCATTCCTCCTCCTCCAAACATGGCGAGTTGAGTTGATGCCAAAGAGCTCGATTTTGGTCTCATCTGACCACAACACTTTCACCCAGTTCTCCTCTGAATCATTCAGATGTTCATTGGCAAACTTCAGACGGCCCTGTATATGTGCTTTCTTGAGCAGGGGGACCTTGCGGGCGCTGCAGGATTTCAGTCCTTCACGGCGTAGTGTGTTACCAATTATTTTCTTGGTGACTATGGTCCCAGCTGCCTTAAGATCATTGACAAGATCCTCCCGTGTAGTTCTGGGCTGATTCCTCACCGTTCTCATGATCATTGCAAGTCCACGAGGTGAGATCTTGCATGGAGCCCCAGGCCGAGGGAGATTGACAGTTATTTTGTGTTTCTTCCATTTGCGATTAATCGCACCAACTGTTGTCACCTTCTCACCAAGCCGCTTGGCGATGGTCTTGTAGCCCATTCCAGCATTGTATAGGTCTACAATCCTGTCCCTGACATCCTTGGAGAGCTCTTTGGTCTTGACCATTGTGGAGAGTTTGGAATCTGATTGATTGATTGCTTCTGTGGACAGGTGTCTTTTATACAGGTAACAAGCTGAGATTTGGAGCACTCCCTTTAAGAGTGTGCTCCT